CCTATATTTTGGAACCATGTATTTCTTTCTCATATCAAGAAAAGGAAACCTAAAAAAATAACAATAAACTTTACAAAGATGTGATATTAAAATAGTAAGTAATTAACCTTTACTATAATCATTATGAGACAGACGGATGAAGACGAACTTAGCTGGAGTTTACTTGCTCTTAATTTTAATTTTTCGATAAGCAAATAAGAAAGTTTAATTGCAAATTAAAGGTGGTTGCCTAATGCACCGCCTCTGATAATTAGGTTGTGTATGTACTTACTTATGATATTATCTTGAAGAAGCATTTTCAACAGGCCTTTTACACATAACGCATGTTTTTACCATATTATTAGAGATAATAAATCTTAAATATACATTTACAACCCTTACAACGTTATAAATAATAATATTTTCCGTAAAATACAAATAAGAAATTGACATGTGTCAGAACTGGCACTCACAGAACACTTCTGGCGCTGTCAAACTTGGCAACGCTGATTAAATAAGCCAATTACAGAAAAGGTATTTTCCCCCTCGGGGGGAGTAGATGTTGCTAACAAAATTTAGCGCGGGGAAGGGGGGAAGACTCCCTCTAGTAGTAATTGCTCGGAGTATTAATGAGTGAAACATAACCTCACTTCCTCTTTTATATTTGAAACCATATAAAACACAAGTTTCTTCCTCTTTTATATTTGAAACCATATAAAACACAAGTTTTTCCTAGTATAAAATAAACCCTACAAACCAAAGTCTGCTTTAACACCACCATATTTGAACGAATTTAAGTAAAAACTTCTATTATCTATTTCTCTATAATTAGAATTTTGTTTGCGATTCTCGACCATATTATCAATGCGACACAAACATTGTTTACTGTCCTCTCTGTACTACTCTGAAAAAAACCTATAAAAACGGAGTTTCTGTTTAAAACTTTCTGCGTGGTTTTGGCTACGTTGCCGTAATTAGTGAAATTTACATTTTCTGCTGATTTTAGGAAATTCTGGTACAGCAATTACTACAAAAATTGCGATAGATCCCCACCTTGATTGAAAAGAGGTTAAATGTGCGTGAATTAATCACTGTAGATTTCTTGAATCTAAAACACTTAGATAAAATATTTCTCTTAACCAAGTTAGAGAATGTTTATTTAAAAATTTTGTTTATCCGCTGTTACGATACCTTTCAATATTTTTTGTTTATACTTAACAAAAAGTTTATGCAAGTTAAAAACGTTCAATTATTATTGTAAAAGATAATTTCTTGCTATTACCAGGGACGAAGAACGTAGAGGAATGAAACTAAATCTCGTGTGCATCTGAAAATAGCGAGAAAGTAGGTTTGTTCCAGCAGCAAATTCTAAACCTTTTGAGCAAGCTTGGCCAACTAGAACAAGGATATTTTACAAAATAATTATTAAAAAAAGGTCGACACCTATACCTAATAACATTCATGGTAGGATTTTATAATATATATTATATAAATCACAACGAACTACACAAAATTAGCAATTACCAGTAGGAATGCGACTAAGCGCAGATTATAGTCATAGTCAAGTATTTGTTTGCTGTACGTAATGTCAGAATAACTTAAAAGCTACAATTTCTTGTTTCATCCCATCTTTCCTCGAATTTCACAAGTGAATGTTCTTTAATTAGGTCTATCACTACCGATTTTGTCAGGCCAATAGAAGGACCAGGTCCAAAAAGTATTTGGTTGGCTGTCTTCTTGGCCAGTGTATCAGCAAAACGGTTACCTTTCGATGTGGCGTGACCTTTGATCAATCTTAAACCATTATTGATGGATACTTCTGCCAACGTTTTATGACATTCTATAGTACTAACCCTAAGTCAATTCGTAGTATGTTTAGGATGAGTAGTGCTTGTCTGTTATCTGTATAGATGAGCATGTTCTTTCCAGTGATATTATTTCTGCTATAAGAATCCCTGTGAGCTCTATTTGAACTACTACACTGGCTCACAAGCCCATTTTATATTTAGGTTTAAAGATCTGGAGTATATCCCACATTCTGAGCCTTGTTTTAGAACCGTCGATATATGTACCTGCCACTTTCGACTCTTCTATTTGTTCTGTTTATATGGCTTATGAAAGATATATTTCGGTGAGATGGAGTACCTGTTCGCTTGAAGCAGTGGGAGCGTATCGAGCGCCTCCTGTCAAAAGTGACGTCTCGCCTCACCAGAAGTGGGATTTTTCATCTTTCAATACGGCACATGTCGAGACGCCTATCTTCGTTCGACAGAATGTGATTCTTATGTAATGTCCCTCTCTCTCTATTCAACACGTAACCTGTTGAGTTCATACATAAAAATCCCTGTCCAGATCCTACATCAGGATAGGGATCCTATGTGCGAACTCAAGACGTTACATGTTGAATAGAGAGACATTACATAAGAATCACATTCTGTCGAACGAAGATAGAGGCTTCTCAACACGTATCGTATTGAAAGATGAGAATCCCACTACAGGTTCTATCCCAACCATGCGGATGCGTGTCATTGTCATCAGAGAAATCTCCTTGATGTAAATATCGGGGTGAGTAAGACTAAGAATGACTTCCATGGCTCTGGTCGGTATTGTTTTCATTGCTACTGTTATGTTGAAACAATTGTTCTTTGAGTTCATACACTAATTGACAAAAACCAAATAATGACATTAAAAATGACACAAACAAACTAGATATCTCAATTTTATAGCCTACATTTCAGCTTTAGTACCTTCGTGTGGATATATTTTAGTAATACATAGAATTATAATTTTATTAACAATACATAGTAGAGATGGGACTTCTAATGAAAAGTTATTTTTGGACTAGTCCGACGGACATGTCCGGAAAAGTAATGATCATAAAAAACATTTTGGGAACAATATTTGCATTCGAAAACATCGTTAAAACATTTTAAAAGTCAGTAAACATTTGTCCTTTCTTCTTTTTTAAACTAAATAATACCTTTGTTTGTAAAAAATTCAGACTAATTAGTTAATTTAATTTCACGCATGCGCAATACACTTTTCCATTTTTGAAAAGTGCGTTTTCAGACTTTTCGTGGACTTATCAAAGCGACCCATCACTAATACATAATTGTAAATACAACCAAGTCATAACAACGGTAATTAATTTTTATTGTTTTTAACAATTTTCCAGTTCGTGTGGATTAGACCTATTGAATGGAGATGAATGTGGAAATCTTCAAAGTTTTTATGTAAAAATTAAATAATTAACGATTAATTTTTAAATGAATATGAATCATTTAAATTTTTTTAAGTACGGATCTAATTGTAATTTTTATTGGTTTTTGTGAATGTTACTTCAAGTTCAATAAGGTTATTTCAGGAATTTTAATGGAAAAGTTAGGTAAAATTAATTTTTAATGAAGAAAAAATAATTAAAACCCCCAACTACAACTTGCCATAGACTTAAATTCTCATAATGTACATTTAAAGTTAAAATTTTGGTAGTAAAACGGCATGCGGAAAAGCAAAAAGTTGATGAATATATACAGTTTTTTATGCTCTTTCTTTCCAAATTTGAAATTCAATTTTTAAAAATTTGATGTATAGGGTGGGTCAAATTTTAATAATTTTTTGTTAAGCCGAACCTGGATTTTGAAATTTTTTAATGTGTCGACAAATTTTCCTGTAGGTGTAGATTATCTATGCCAAATATCAAAAAAATATACTGAGTGATTCAAAAGTTATGGAGCACGGAAGAAATGGGACAAATTCAAAAAACATATAAAGGTCGCAAGACCCATACTATATATGATTAAAATATTACCCTTTCCCAATGAAATACCCTGTATAGTACATTTTTAATACAAGTTAATGCAGGATATTTGATGGAAGAAATCTTACGGCATAGGAAGATCCTACTGTCAGAACGATGTTGCGGACACATTTAATGTAAATAAGGCGTATCTATTCTACCGATCTTTGGGGTAGGCACACATATATTTTTTGAAAGTGCTAGTTGTCTTCTATAATATGTAATTTTTTTCACATTTCCATTCACCCAAATTTTTGTAATTAAACAATTTTTCAATAATTGCACTACTTTTGCAAAGGATTTGGTTGGTCAGCCTGGTGGTTCGTTACTCCCCCATATACAAACTATACACTCATATTATTTTTATCAACATTTCCGATGCCGTATGCTCGAGTGTCGTTGACTATTATATATCATGACAATATTTATTGTTGTCATTTTTATTGCTTCACTAGTTATGTAGACAAACTGTACCTTGTATTATTCTGCGCTTAATACGGCAGTATTATACTTTGAACAGTTTTAATGCTTACTAAATTATTTACAGAAAATGCACTCCACAAAAGTATATAAGTGGATTGTGACTAAAAGTTTTCATTATTATATCCAAAAACGTTTTGGAAATGGCAGTTAATGAAACCTTATTAATGTTCCAACATTGATTTGATTAAAAATCAAAGAATAACAAAAAATAGCAATAATTCTATAAAAATTAGGATTATATTTGATTTTATCATTAGAATATCGAAAGGACTTTTTAAGGTACTTTAAGATCCATTGCCTAAAAATGAAATGTTAACTATATTGTTACATTTAGGATAAAGGACCCAAATATTTTTATAAGTATTCATGCTCAATAGATATTTTAAAGTTAAGGCTAATGAGATAAAGGGACAGGATAAAGTGGCCAAGGACCACCATATTTTATACATATATTCAAATCAAACAAACTCTTAATTTGATGGCCACATTATGGATAAAATAATAGTTTTTTAGTCTTATTTCCAAAAATCTTAAACTTTCCAAAATGGTAAACAGACAACTTTATTGATTATTCCTATTTTTCGTTTCTCAAAAACAATTTTATTCCAATAAATGTTCTTTATGTGCTGGTTACAAATCTTCCAAAGGGTATAATAAAGAAACTTTATAATCAATAAATTATTTATTTACACCAAACAACTTACAAAGTATAATTAAAATTTATATAATACAAAATTAACAAAAATTATAATACAAAGGCAAATTATTAATGTCAAGTCAAAATTAAGGCTTAAAATATTAATATTTTTCACAAAAAAACTAAATCAAATTAGTAATTTCAAAAAAAAAACAATTAGATTCATAAATATTTTTTAAATAAAGGTAACAATTTATAATCTAATGGTAACCCTTTTTGACCCACCCCTATTTGTTACTATTTTACCACATATACCAATAACAATAATTTGCTACTATAACTAGAGTTTCAAAAATAATACCACATATATATCATTAAAATTCCAAAAATATACTATTTTTAAATGCTCAAAAATAAATATTGATAGACAAGTTATAAAGGATTTTATAAATATCCTATTTTACTTACGGTGGTCCAAAATTAAATTTTGTGACAGAAAACTAGAAAGTTATTTTTTTAGATATGCTAAAAAATAGTCAATACATTTTATTACTCACATATTTTTTTCATATTCAATAACAGTTATGGAATGTCGATAATTTTTCAAATATTTGTCTATCCTTTTCATACCCATTGCAATAGTGTTTTTTTATGTAATTGAGTATTCTAATAGGGAATCTGGTTTTGATAATACTGTATCATATCATAAGTACGGGTTCTGAAATTGAGAAAACTGTTTCGAATTATTTGTAACATATAATTTGCCGCTTCTTTATCGGTTGCTCCTGTACTAAATCGCCCTCTCAAGAGTTTGATGGTCTGTCCACGGAAGCATGGTAGGCCTGTATCTAGCATCAGAGATACCAAGGATATGATGGCTTCACAGTGAGGTCTAGAATAAACAAAAGTTTTTTTATATATATTTATCACTTGCATTTCTACTTCTAGCCTAGCAAATATAAATCTGGCAACACTGCGATCGAGGCCATTTCATTCACGTTTTACTACAAGGGAAACATGGATGGAGATAAACTTTAAGTGGAAAGCAAAGAAATATATAATAAATTTCCCAAATACTTTTTACTCTCATAAGCTTACCAATTAATATATCTAGTCGTGCAAATCGTTCTATACGTATAAACATAAATTACTACCGACTATCCTGGTTTATTTAACAAAATTTACTTTTCTTCTGAAAATCTCGTCTCCATACTAAAGCTTTTGAAACAATACATAATTCCTCAATAACATAAATCTTTCAAAGGCCGATCCACAACAACAAATTTAGTTGAATGCCAAAATGTTCTTTTTACTATTTTAGAGGATGGAAGCAAGTCGATGTGATCTATACAGGCATTTCAAAACCCTTCGATGGTGTGTGTCACACTTCAAATTAAGGAAAATAAAGTACCTGAAGCTAATTCAGCGTCAAAGGAGGTTAGCTTGTGTGGTTTCCTATCCAAGGAAATCTCAGTACAATCAGGTGTTCACTAAAAGTTCACATATTGGAGTTCTTTTTTTTATTATTTTTGTCTACATAACTCTTATACAACGACAGTAGACGTGGACAGTGTATAAAAATAAATGTCAGTTGTATGTATAATATATCGTAGAATTCTGAATTTGAATTTTAAATTTCGAGTTCATAAATGGTTTATATTGTAAGGTGAACTAAGCGAAATGGTTGTAGTGTTTGTAAAACTCTTTACGCACTAGTGATAAAAAATAAAATTTGACAAAAATTGTACATAGCAACAAAATATAACGTTTTATTTTATATTACCATTTATATAAATATCCTTCTAAGACAAATAAGTAAATTATTTTTGCTTATATATATTTAGTCCCCAACAAATTATCAACAGTTTTTTCGCTACTAAGAAAAGGTCTTTCCACTGCTACAAGGTGTAAAAATCCGCAGACCTAGCGGAATTCCGCTACTGTTGGCAACACTAGAAAAGGCCTACTTACAGAAACCTTTTATAAATTTTGTCCAGTAGGCGTATAGCTTAGATTGAATCGTGGATAGAAAGTGAAATGTGTCAAATTTCCAGAGCCACCCGAGTTCAAATAAAAAACAAACGGCGTATATGTGGTTCTCACAAATTTGGATAGAGGAGATAGGAAAAGGCCATTTTCCCCGGTGTTTCAAAATAATCACACCATGTTGGCAATTTAAGCGTACAACGCACATGCGCAGTTGTTGTAGTGTTTTGACAGAAGTGTCATTTATGTCAACTAGTCTTAATTTTATTCGAAATTCGCTATTTTAGTGAATTTAAAAGAATTTTAGAAGTTTTTACTATAGACAATTAATAAAATGGGGAAGACTTGCTTTGTTTTTGGTTGTTTAAACAATGAGGATTCAGAAAACATTACATTCCACAAGTAAGACATCTTTTCTACCAGAACCGTATTCTTCACCACATTTTTTAGACTATATTTTCATTTTCTAGAAAACGAAATATCATAGTACAATAACAAACTGTATGTAGGTATCTAATTTTTTTAGATTGAGGAAAAGGCGTATGCTTCTTGGTTAATAGCTATTGGAAGAAATCATTGGAAAATATAAGTGCAAAGCAAATAACGCTATTTGTTCCTCCCATTTTCATAAAGATGATTTAATCGTTTCAAAACGAATAGATACAATAAAAAAATAATGCAATATCTTCCATAAATATGCCTAAAATTGAAGATTTTTATAACATTAGTGTTATGAGGTAAATATATATACATAAAATTATCAATTTGTTTCTTTTTATAGTTTCTAAGAAAGTGATAAAAAATTGTTAATTATCCCTATTATTTTTAGAAATTTACAACCTTCAGCTTTAACGAATATTATTAATTCAGAATCTAACGAGAAATTATAGAAGTTGCCAGTTGGTTATTTTTTATTAAGGGTTTAGATGGTAATGAAAGAAGACATGTGGCGTTATAGGCTCTTCTAAAATTGCATGAATATGGAGTTATCATCACCTAATTATCATTTGATGGACTTACAATGATAACATTAGGTGTAAACCTATACAACTTTGATATTGACACTGCAACTCCATATTTCTTGCATTCGCCATAGATAAAAGTATATTTTTTATAATTTTAGATGCATGTCACATACTTAAGTTGGCTTGGGATAATCTTACTATAATTGTCGAAACTAATGGCGAAATTATTAATTTTAATTATATAAAATTGTTGCATTATATTTAACAAACAGAAGGTTACGTTTGGGTAGCAAATTAAGATTGGCCCATATGGATTGGAGAAAGACATGAAGGTTTGTACACTTAAACGAATTTAGAAATTACAAATACTAAGTAACAATACTATTAATTGTATAAGGACATTTGAGAAACTGTTCGATTTACTAAATTCTCGAAATCTTTTTAGATTTCAATGGAAAATGCCTTTGTCTCAAAAACAGAGACTATATGGATGTTTAGAATATAAGCTGCAATAGAATATATATAAAGAAACTTACTTTGACAGCAGTTATGTTATTCAGTGACCAAAGAAGAATAGTGGTGTTCTAGACTTTATTTTATAAAGTTTGTAATAAGTTTATATGAGAAATATGTAAACTGTTAATATATAAACTTAGTACAGATCACTTAGAGCTATTTTTCTGTAGTATATGGAATAGTATTAGTTTAATTGTATGATGTAATTACATTTTATTTCTAGGGCTAGGTATGGATGGAACAATAATCCTTTATCTGTAAAAATTTTCCATTCATATAGACTACGATTACTTTTGTACCATGGCATTAAGAATCTTAATGGCTATTGTATTCTTTAGGACCCCATCAACATTTTACAAATGACACTAAAAAGTACAACAACAGTACCTATAGTTTATTACCACTTTCTTACTAAATATAACTGAGAGAAACTTCAGAAGATTCAAAATTCTTGTATAAGATGTACTTGTAATATTCCTTATAGAAATCATGTTTCTCCATACATTCGCAGGTTAAATAAATATAAAATTCAGGAAAGGGTAAAATATCTATTTTTAATTTTAATGTTTAAAATTCCACAATATCTTACTAAAAAGATCAACTTTAAACAATGTAAATTTAAGAGTGAAAACTTTTACAACCCCAATGCATAGAACTTCAAAATTCCAAAGTTGTTTTAGATACGTAGCACCATTATTGTTGAATTCAGAACTTAATAATTTTAATTTTAATCATTTTGTTGACTATTAGGCAAGTTCTTATTTCAAGATAATGATTTAATTTAAAATAATGATTTTGTGAACATTTTTCATTTTAAGACACTAATGTATTTATAGTTGCTCAATAAACATTATTTATTTAAATATAGTGATGTTCACATTGTCAAAAAATGTACAGTATGTTAAGCCGACGCATCAGGCGTAATAAAGATGAGACGTTTAATTGTATTTGGATGTGAGAGCGATAAAGATAGTAATTGATTTTACCATACCCTTTCGATGGCAAGCATGAGCTATTGCAGTCCACACTCATTCATATTATTCTATTTCTCTCTATTCAATGGCATTGTGTAAGTACTAGTGTAAAACTGTCGAATTATCTTTAAAAAAAAGTATTTTTAATCACATAATCAATTACCTGCTAAAAAATGTTCATTTTCAATTAGTTTAAAATAAAAACTTGTTTCGAGAAATCAATAATCATAATTAGGAGTATCTACCCTTATTTATAGGAAAATCACATATCAAGATTAATAAAAACCTTAAAGACATTGTTCAAACACCAATGAAAATTTAAAAAACTAAATTTGTATTTTTTGTTCCTTATTAACTTTTATTAAATAGCTTTTTTTTTATTTATAATTTATTAGTGCCATTTTCTAATGTAATATAAATGTTTTAAGTTTAATAACATAATGTTATCATAATATATTTACTGTAGTATTTATTACACAAGATAAAAAAGTAAAACCTTTCGCACTTGGCAAAATCGAAGCTTTTTTACTACTTATTCTCTCACAACCTCCGTCCATGTAAGCGGGTGAATTTACCGCCTTTTCAGATTCCTTTAGTTATCTATGGTAAGCAAGATCAAAATTTGAATATTGAAATATGAATTTTTTTAACTTTGTTGTTTTCTTTGGATATAATTCAATGTCTGCTGCGGAATTAGCCAAAGAAGTAGTTGTTTTTCGAAGGGAAACGTTAAAGTTTGGATTTATTTCCCTTTTTTAATAAAATATTTGACTACATGTTTCTTATAATAGTTTTAAATTTACTCTATTCTTTAGTAGGAATATGCCCATAATCTCTTATTTATTTTGATTGATGATTCTTAATGTATGCTCAAGTGCATGCCCATAGTACTTTGGAACGATATTACAAATATATTTGAATTCCTTAGTTTTGAAGTTTTTAATAAAATACTTTCAAGATCTGAACAATCAATATTCCCATGTAATAATTACATACAAAATGATAGTTTTTAATATGAAAGTTCTGTTTAAATCACGTGATTCCAGATTTATTTGCTACAAAATATATGACTGCCTTGGATTGTTGTATTCATTTCATATAAAATGGTATTTTAAATATAGTATTCTGTTTTTATTTAATTTAAAATAAAGTTTCAAAAAAGACTATGATGTTTTTTATTTTTAGAAATAAAATCCATAAAAAAAGAAAATTAAAAGTCTATTGCGAATTTTTAAGGTTATTAGTTCTACTGTGTAAGTAAATCCTTAATATTTTCGAATTATGTTTAAATGTGTTAGTCCTATCCTGTACACTTCAATATACAATCAATGCGCAAGTGCGTGGGTCGCTTTTTTTAAAAGATGGCCACCTTCAATTCTACGTGCCTGATGAAAATGACATTTCCTATCTCCTTTATCGATGTCTGTGGTGGTTCTAGTTGATCTTGTACCTCATTTTTCAATTACAGTCTGACCAAGACGTTTGCGTTTTAAACCCACTTGTATATTTGTAATGGAGGTAAACTCTTATAAATTATCAGAAAAAATTACAATACATTACCTGACTGCTAGATATGCTTGAACACACAAATCAGAGAACCATTTGAATGGTGGAGCTTCCATTTTCCCGCCCATAATCATCACCATTTCGTCGGTAAGTTTGATGTCTGGTTCGAAACCAAGATTGCCTCCGGGAGATGATTCAAACATGAATCCAAAATCTAAAGAATTGAAAAAAAAATATGTTTTAAACTTTTATTTTTTGAAATAGTGGTGCAAATATCAAAAAGTATCAATAAAATGGAAAGGGAACGATTTTAATTTGTATGCATTGCGCATCATTGTTGAATAAACAGCTCAAAACATTCAATAGTATAAGCCATTATTTACTTACCAATATGTATAATGTGACCCTCAGCGTCCAACATAATATTGCCATTGTGTCTATCTTTGATCTGTAGAAGAAAACCGATAACACTATATGCGGCCATTGAGATAATAAAGTTCCTTCTGGCATTCTGGAACTCTCTAGTACTTTCATCGCCGTATTTTTTCAAAAAATATTCATACATTCCTATATCCGTTTGCCTTCCTAACTGATCTCTAGATTTTGCATTAGGAACACATTCTATAACACCACACTAAAAATTAAACAAAATTAATTTTTATTTCAAAAACTAAAATAATTAGAAATTTTAAGAACTTATTAAACATACCCCTGGTGCCGTGGCTACAACTCTATAAGGAAACAAATACAAATCTAATCCAACCGTCTGGAAAATATTTTTGAAAATTCCAATGACTTGTAACGCCAACATATCCTGTCTGACATCATCTCCTACTTTAAATATTGCAGCTTGCCACAGTTCTGGACCGAAACTCAGATTATCTTTAGTCTAAAATGTTCCAAATTAATTAAAAAATGAATTAAGAACTTGCCAATTAATAAAATGGGTTAATTACTTTTGACATATGACTTTACGGGGACAATAGTATGAGATTCGACCGTGTGATTACTGCACTGGTGTTAATCAAAATACAATTTTTATAGATAAATATTGATAGAGAAATACGGTTTAGCTGGGTTGCCTATCAACATATATGGCCGCAAGTACTTTTATTTTTTTGAACAATTTCGTTCACTTGTTTTGAAGATAAATTATAATTATTTATTTCAAAGAGAGATATGTTAAGAACTTAAAAGTGTTATGTTGAGAATGGGGTTAATACACTGCGACCTAAAAGATCTATTGTGCCCCCTTCTGTCGCCACTGCACTAAGGAAATGTCTCAATGCCTATAGCGACCCTTCCAATCATATTTTCTCAAGGAAGTGTAGGATTTGAAGTGGCTTCAAGTTAGGTAAGTCTCCCTCTTCTATTTGATATCCTCCTAGATAAAAATATGATGTGACCAATACATGACTTTCCTGTAAAATTATCAAATATATTGAGTACTGACCATATAATGATATGTTTAGAGTATGAAGATAAAAAATATTCAAAACATTTTTTCATATCTTCATTGCCAGCGAATATACTGAAAAAATTAAATTAAAGTGAAGTTGTGCCAAATAGGTGCGCAACTCGCTGTTACTTATATTGTTGGTATGCTAAGGACACAAAAATCAAGTCGAATTGATTTTCCTATGTTCGGGTTGAGCAGAAGGGGGTTATTCTCTAACTTTCGGCCGAAAACACATAGCAACGAAAGCGCTAAGCGGACTTCTCAACAAAGTTTGACAAACATGCGATTATGGTATTCTCTAACGCTAGACTATTTTGCGATTCGTAAGTGACTTTCTTTTTTGTCGTAAACTGTCATAATTATAAATCGGAAATTAGTCTGAATAACTAAGGTTAGGATTTGAATGTCATTTTGTCATTATTATAATTCATTAATCATTAAACATGAACACGGTACTTTAAAAGCAATGGATAGGACCCAAAAGCAAACTATATTAGAATATATTGAGGCCAATTCCAAAATTATAACGGATCAAAAACATTAAACAGCATAAATTTGCTGGCATTATAATATTCAAGTCATAATAAATATTTTAATGTTTGACTTATCTTCTTTCCCAAATCTTAGCTTTAAATGTCAAAACTTGAAGTGCCAACAGCAAAACGCTACGCATGTGTAACTTATTTGAAAGCGCTTTACGTTTTTCAAATACGAACAGCGCAGCAAGTAGGGAATACCAAAACATTTGTCCTCTACACTTTTGTTAGTTGCTTGTCGAGTTTCTAGAGAGATGCGCTGGTCTATATAAGTAGTACTTACTTGGTTTGCTGACACTACCATAGCTATATTTTCTAATTCGTTGATACCACATTTAGCTACTTTAAATCGAGCCAAATATGGAGCTTTTGCAGCACTTTGCATAGGTGTACCACTCTTGTAGTCTATATCTAGCACCATAGCTTCAGGGTTGCTTGGAAGATAGCAACCAGGTTGAACCTAGATTAAAAAAAAAAACGTTATGTTTCATCTGTGGCGTATACAGCAATACAATTAAAACAAAAATACTAACATCCTCACACACAAGATTATGAGAAGGTGTCGTTAGTTTTTTTGTTTTTTTTTTTGCCATTCAGCCAGACAGAGATTCGTCCATAATAAGAACTACCAAAGAATATTTCCTAACAACAAGAGGTGTAAGAAGAAGAAAAAGAAAGAAAACGTAGCTAACATTAGCAATAAAAAACCTTGTATTTCATACAAAATTTTTCATTGCTAACTAATTATGTTGTTAGTAACTTTTTTTCTATAAATTCATTTCTAATTATTACTTTTACGGATGATAACCGGTCGTATATTTGTAAAAATACATTTGTATCTCTGAGAGATTCAAAAGACTTTTCTTTTCTTCCCCTATAAACCTATTTTTACTCAAATACCTATAAAAAATAAAATTACCTTTATTTTGCTCAAAGCTTCTAAACAAGCTCTCTTCCTCTCAAGACCTTTCGGGAAGGGTCGAATTTCACCAGAAATACTCGTAATTTTTCCGAAAAAATCAAATTCTCGTTCGTAAAATTGTTTCGCTGGTCCTGATAAATCACTAACAATGCTGTTAACCAACGATTCCAAGTTTTCAAAAATGATAGCTAGGAACAAAAAAAAAATTGCAATAAAAAGTCAAGAGATAGATAAGTAACTTACGATCTTTTTGTTGCATATCTTCATCGATGAACATGTTCGTTTTCATGTTCCAGATAAGTTGATGGGCTACTATTTGCGATTTTTTCGCTATATATCTAATCAATTCGTTTACATATCCCATCTGAAAAAAAAAACATTAGGTGAATAATGTAAACCACAAACTACAATTATTATGAAAACAAAAATAATAATATATTTATTTATTTATATATTTATTTATTTACAGAAAAACCCCATTTTACAATAAAAAATATATGTTATATGCACAAATACAAAATAAAAAACATCATCAGAAATTGTATCATGTAAAACATTTGATTAAAACATATGATTAAAACATTTGATTAACAAGGCAGACAATAACAGTACTTTCAAGTGTCATTAAGAAAGTGGTTAGCAATACTTCTTTTAAATGAAGGATATGAGGAACCAAAAAAATCCAAGTCTATTTCTATACTGTTAGCACTCCTAGCCAATCGTGTTGATGGACTATAAAAGCCGTAATTTTGTCTATGGTGTCTAATAAAAAAAGTTTCATTAGCTCTGGTTGAACTATTAATTTTAAGACCAATTTTTAATAAAATATCAGGAGAATATATTGACCCAGACAAAAGTTTGAATAGGAAGCATAGATCTAATTGAGGTTCTGCAATGTTGTGATTTCTAATCTGGAACATAGATTAGCATATAAATCGTTTCTTTTAAGCGAGGGTAAATTTTTCTTCCTATTACTCTACATCATTTTATTATAAATTCTTATTTTCTTCAGACTATAACTAACAGCTCAACTTGCTTTTTCCATTGACCTAATCCTACCAGCTTTCTAGAGTGTTTTCCTCCTCACATCTGAACTATAATTTTCGTGATAAGAGTAAAAAATCTGACTGAGACGCATCCGGTAAACTGTAATATCTTTATTCACATTAAAACGAACATGGTGCTGAGTCCAATGCCTTTTGTTCGGTTTAGAGCCTTATGTTAAGTAAATTCCGAACAATCCTTGTATATAGACTCTACCGTAATAATTTAGCAACTATGTGGACAACAACAAGAGGCTGCCGACTCCTGATCTAGATGAAAGAAGTTGAGGCTTGGGATAAAATACATTTTAAGAGCTTTGTTGCAATTAATTAATTTCAGTTTTATATTTCTTTGTCTTGATATATTTTCTTCATACAACAAAAATAATAAATGTTTAGGTCTATGAAAACCAGCTATCGACTTTTTATGTTCACTTTTTTGAACAATGTTTCAGTGGACATCCAAATAATACTATTATTCTAACGAACTATAGTACATTTTTTAATAATTATACTCATATACTGATTAAAATGAACAAATTGTTAAGTGTATGTCTTACCTTATCATGTCTTAAGGCCTGCACAAGTTGCGGAATATAGAACAAAACAGTATCAGCTGGATAAGAACTTAGTACTCTAACGGCATACTGTGCCGATATAGGATGTGAAGGAAACTGTCTACTGAAATAAGCCAGCGCCTAAAATAAATTATATTATAATCGAAAATTATGACATACTATCCAAATTGGTTTACCTGAATAGGCGACACTCTCGCCCAAGTTAACATGTTTACTAATTTTGGACTGTCGTTCAAAATCGCTTCAGTCGTTACCAAATATTGTAAAGCTTCGGGAATCTTCGAAACAGCATGCGGATTCATTTGAACTAAATTTTTTATCTCGCTAATTATTGCATCGTTCAACTTAAACCTGCAAGAAAATAAAATATCACAATTAAAATAATTATTAAGTTTTTTTTTTAAATTTGTAAAATAAAATACGATAATCAAATGTTTTCATTATTGAATGAGAATAACCCTTCAACTTTCTGATCTTCATAGCTAAATTATTTTACAATTAATCTATATAACCCAACATAGGATGAGAAAGAAATATCCTCCATAATATTATTTATTCTGTAACTTTCTAAATATAAAAGTTTATTACAACATAATCTGATTAGACGAACGCTCATTAAAATTTAAGGCTGATAAAGTTTGACAGATGTAGAGACAACGTGTAATTTCAGACATATCACATTCCCAAGCTCTGCCAATGTTATCAGGCTTATATGATAATGAACATTCTTGTAACCGGCTAATTATGTCCTGAAACCAATCGTTTGTCAAAAAAACAATATTTTGCTGTTAACTACTCCACTGCGTTCTAAAAAAATCATTGTCAAAGTACCTCAAAGCTCAACTTTGGCCTTATAACTGTTCTTATTACCGATCAATCCTAGCTGGGGGTCGGGAAGTGGATTGCTGGCTGACTGTAAAGGTATTCAAAACATTGATCACTGTTAAGCGGCGTTACCACTAGTCATCGCTTGGACGCGTGACTGAGGGTGTAGATGACGGAATATACGAGTTGAATGAATGAGACTGAGTAGGGTGGAACAATAAGTCCATGAGGCCACAGTGTTATCATGCTTAATCCCCAGAGAAGGAAAGGTAGGCTTTAACACAAGCCTTATTGGAGAAGCATGTCTGGGCTCTCATCAATAACTTTGCAAACAACATCACTCTGTACGCCAGTTATCAGTCCAAACTAATGTCTTCCAATTAGCTCGACATTTGAAGACACGTAACTATTTTGACGATTATCACTAACGGGATAATCTCAGTGGGGTACCGCTATTCAATAGCGCAATATAGCGTGGGACGTAATATCGCAAAAATAAAAACTCCAGAACGAAAAGCGATCTGATAAAATAGCGCCGGGAAAATGGCGTTAAAACATAAAAATGAAATAGTTGGTAATCTAACAGTTATTTCCCATTTTCCACTTAAGAAAAACAACAAACTTCATCAGGCAGTTGTTCAGTGCATATATCTACCTACAAAAATGCAATGCTTCAGGCTATGATTATTGTTCCATCTATGACGCAATTGATCTGAGGAGATGCTTCAAATGTTGCAGTTACCATCATTCGTCCAGAGTTTGTAAATCGTCTATTTTTATGTGTACCACGAGGTAAGCGCCAATAATTCCCGGCCTGACATAGTTGCAGATATTTTATCAGGATAAAAGTTTAACATTTTATAACTACAAACCTTAGTAGGCTGTGGTAACAAAATAAGCGACTAACGTCAAATAGTTTTTAATTGTCAGCATTTTGAACTAAAGTATCTCCGAAAATGTCTCAGGTGACGAAAATTGAGTACAGAGCGGTTATTAAATTTTTAACAAAAGAAGGGCTTACACCTAAAATTATTAAAGAAAGACTCGATGGCGTATATGGCCAAAGTTCCTTTTCCTATTCGGTAGTGAAGGAATGGGCAAAACGTTTTCGCATGGGTCAGGAATCCCTTGAAGATGACGAAAGACCTGGACAGCTAGTGGAGGTGATAACGGAGGACAAAGGGCCCTTGTGGAAAACCTGGTGCTAAGTGACCGACGTTTGAAGGTCAAGGAAATGGCAGAAATGACCAAGCTTTCTGATACCACTGTTCGCCGAATCCTCCATGATCATTTGGGTATGCATAAGGTTAGTGCAAGATGGGTGCCCAAACACCTTTCGGCGATTCAGAAGCAACGTCGTGTCGAGTGTGCTCGATAGTTTTTGGAACTGTGTGGAGATGATCTGAACCCCGTGTTGGAAACAATAGTCACTGGAGATGAAACTATGGTTCTTTATTATGACCCTCTGTCGAAAAGGGAATCAATGGAGTGGCGCCGTAAGGGTGAAGCCCCCCCCCCCCACGAAAATTTAGAGTCTGCCAATCAACGAAAAAGGTGATGGCTACGATCTTTTGGGATTGTGAAGGAATCCTTCTGATTGATTTTAAAGAGACAAACACCACCGTTAATGGCACATATTATGCCGCATTACTTCATAAGTTGCGGGAATGTATTCGGGAAAAACGTCGAGGAAAATTAACCAGAGGCGTGCGGTTGTTGCACGACAATGCGCCCGTTCATACTGCTGGCGTTACACAATCTGCCATCCTAGATTGCGGGTTTCAAAATATAGATCACCTTCCTTATAGTCCAGATATGGCTCTCAGCGATTATTATTTGTTTAGTTATTTGAAAAAGGACCTTCGCGGGCTACGTTTTCTGGACGATTTTGAGTTACAAGAAGCTGTTTTGGCCCATTTTGAGGATAAACCGAAAGAATTTTTAAAGGGATTGAATTGTTAATTAAACGTTGTAAGAAGTGCATTGAGGTTAAGGGAGATTACATTGAAAAATAATAAAAACTTGTTGTACTTTGCCTCCTTCATTGTCAGGCCGGGAATTATTGGCGCTTACCTCGTATATGCGCAAAACCACCAAGTAAAAGACTGTCCGAGATCCCTTGAATATTGTATTAATTGTCACAATTATAATAATTATAATAAAACAACTAATAGCCCTGTTTCCGCCAATCATACTGCACTTAATATAGAATGTCACGTATACAAATCAACTCTTTCTAAATTTAAATCAAACATCTTTTCCAATATGTAGCCATCACAGTAGGTATATAACGACTCAAAATCACCAAATTCAACTTCTGTTACTATTTACTACCAAAACGTGCAAGATATTAGAACAAAAACTCAAGATCTTTATATCAGTTCTGCTACCTCGGTACAATATGACATAATAGCACTCACTGAAACCTGGCTCACTGATTCAATCGGTAATTCTGAATTTATGAACACACACGATTTTGACATCTTTAGATCAGACAGACCATATCAAATAACCAATAACACGAGGGGTGGAGGATGTTTATTGGCTGTAAGAAAATAACTCTCGGCGTCCTTTAATGACTTAGAACATATTGCAATCTTTCAGGATTTACCCTTCATCGATATAATTTCAGTGAAATTAAAATTAAAGGTTTCGATTTATTTATACTCAATATTTATATCCCTCCTCAGGTTACTAGTGATGATGTTGAACTCCTATTAGCAGGTGGCACATCACTAAATAATTTATAAAATAATAAATTATTACTTATTGGCCACTTTAATATTAAAGACTTCGCTTCCTACAACTACTCAGCAGAAGTAAATCCCTCAAGAAAGATTCAATCGTTGATAAACTTCCAAACATTTTACGATCTCAACCAATATAATAAAGTACTGAACGAGAATGGTCGTTTACTTGATTTAGTTTTTTCAAATGTAAGCTCATGTAAAGTAGAGAAAGCCACAAAGCACATAGAGGTTCCACGTGAATGACCAAGGTCAAAACCGACAACTGACATTTTTTATGCTATTTGCTCCAAACTCTAGATGGGGCTATTGGTGAAATTCTGATTTCTTACTCCATTTTTAAGCTTTATGGGAGAAAAACTTAACCAAAGACTCCAAAGATGTGAGGTGTATTTATTTATGTTTTTCGTTAGTCTCATTTTTCCGTCTGATTTTAGTGATTTTTTTGTTGGCTTTGGCTTTTGGTTTCTGTTTATAGTTTCGTCTTAGTTATTTGCAAAATTGTGATGTTCCGCTTTTCTATTTCCTACTGTGTTTTGCAATAATTTTGGTGCTACCTGTGGGTGCTACGTTGAAAACTTCGAGAAAAACTTATTGATTCACCATGCATCTGCATCATAAAAAGACAAACGGGTATAACAACTAATTGATAATCAATTTATCACTGGACTAGATTCCGAAATCATTTTTCACATAAGAGAGTAATACACAAAGCAGTGGAGTAATACCACTATCTGTATTTGGAAGGCAAATACCTATTTATCATTGAATGAATAGTTAAAAGGATTCACATTTTAATACAATACCTATATTACATTTGTCCTCGGTTTAAAAGACATTTATAAAATATATTATTTTAGTGTTAATAAAATGTAATATCCTAGTCTCTTCTTCACATTTAAATTATTGATAGGTATTTTAAAGATTTGAGATTGTATACCTATTTGCTGCAAGTAAGTATTCGTTAAATATATATTATTATTTGTATTTATTTTTATCTAATAATATTTATTTAAGTTATTAATAAACATATTTTAAGAATGTTCTATTTTATTATTTATTGATATATCTTATATTTATTTAATAATAATATGCAGAACCAACTCTCCACATCAGACCCCTGCTTATAACAAATTAATTCCTCAAATTTGGTATAATCGACCTAAATTATTTTGTAAAATAAAAGTTTCGAATTTACTAGTTCCATACTTTATTTTATAAAATAATTTATGTGGAAATCATTTAAAATTTAATTTAAAATTACTACCTACTCCTAAAAATTACAATTTGAATTTACCGCCATCTGTCAATTGTCATTTTAGTTCCAGCTCCAAACACAAGGTGGCGCTAATTTGGTTTAAAAGTTTAACATTGGCGTGGGGTCTCTAGAAGATACGTGCTTTGTGGAGAAAGCCATCGACGTTTTACTTCCAATTAACAGTCACCACCCTGCCCTCACTATAGAAATACCTTTTGAAAATAACAAATATTTAGCTCCAATATCCTCCTGTGGTTTTAATTTTAAAAAAGCAAACTTTCCTCGACTGTATTAAAGTATATTTTAAACTGATTGGTCCTCTAAGTAATTGTAACAATGTGGATGACAGTGTAAAGCTGTTATTATCAAAACAATTAAAATTAAACATAAGGTATGGAAACAATATAAAGCCAAAAAAAAAATGATTATAATTACGCTAAAAGATCAAAACGGCCTACGAAAGTTTTTTAAGATCCTCAGAGAAAAACGTAAAACATGATCCCAAATCATTCTGGTCATTATTGAATACAAACCGTGGAACTTCATCTTCAATACCCAATAATATGACTTATAATGACACATAGCTTAGCACCCCCAGGATATAGTAAATAGTTTCGCTGACTTTTTCTTAGCGAATTACACCAATCACACCATTCCTAATCCTATAAATATTGAAATAGAGTCAAACAATAATAATGTAATTAACATAACCTGTGTTTTCGAGGAAGAAGTATTGAATGCATTAAAAAAGTTAAAACCTAAAATGACGGCTGGAACCGATAACATACCTGCGTATCTAATTAGAGATTGTGCACAAATTTTGACAAAACCTTTAACTGTGATTTTCAAGCTTATTTTAAAAAAAAATTATTTTCCAAATTGTTGGAAGACCTCCTATATTTGTCCAATTTTTAAACATTTACAACTATCGGCCAATAACAATCTTAAATAATTTCTCAAAGGTCTTTGAAATAGTTATCACCTCTCTTTTAAACTCAGGCAAATTATTATTTCAAATCAGCATGGTTTTATGTCAGGAAGGTCCACTATAACCAATTTATTCTGCAAGACACAACTAATATCTGAGGCCCTTGCTAGGAGAAGTCAAATAGATATAATCTACACTGATTTCTCCAAAGCTTTCGACAGAATTGATCCTAAACTACTGCTAATTAAATTAGAAAGCATGGGAATTCATGTATCATTGCTAGTACTTTTAAAATCTTAGTTATCGAAAGGTCTTCAATATGTTCAGTGCCTGGTACACAGATCACATAATTTTTACCAAACTTCTGGGGTACCGCAAGAATCTGTTTTAGGACCACTTCTTTTCAACCTATTTTTTTTTTTTTTTTTTTAATTTGGTGTCATCGGCGTCGACTACTACGGCCATTAGCCTCGTGTTCTGTGTAGGCTTTGTTACTGTTTCCCAGCGCCACTTATTAATAATATAGTTAAAACCATCAACGTTACAAGTATTTTATATGCTGATGATCTAAAATTGATTTATGAGATTAAAACTACCGATGATTGTGCTAAACTTCAGAAAGACATCGATTTATTAGATGAATGGTGCTCAGAGAATGAATTACCACACAATGCCAGTAAGTGTAATGTTTATGTCATTTTGTAGAAAAGATCATGTAATAACATATAATTACAAATTACGCAATGTTATTCTAACACGTCCAGAGTTTATAGGAGATCTTGGTGTTTACTTTGACCCTAAACTTACTTTTAATGCTCACATTGCCAAAAACACTGCTAGTGCTTATCGTTTATTAGGTTTTGTAATCCGAAACATTAGAATGTTTAAAGATTTTTCTACATTGAATCTACTTTATTCTGCATTTGTATGGTCTAAGCTGGAATATGGTAACATTACCTGGAATCCCATTTATAATGTTCAGATATCTTCAATTGAACGCATACAAAAACGTTTTTACAAAGCTGTCTGTCAAGCTATACATATTTATTGTTTGCATTATTCTTGTAGACCAACCAGCCCTAGTTCAAAGTATTTAAATCATGGGAAATAATTTAGATTAATTATATTAATGACACAAATATTACTCAAATTAAGTTTGTTAAATAATTTACTGTTTTATGCTTAGGCTATGGTTGAAAATACCTATTCTGTTCATATTATTTAATTATTGTTAAATTGACATTTTCAGAGTCGTTTTGAATATTAGCATTTGTTATTATGGAGGATCTATAATACAGAACATTTTGTTTTTCGAGGAATTCAGGTTTCGAAAAGATAATAAAAATGCTTATTCGATAACATGAAGGTATACGAAAAGTAGATGTAAAGGTCGATTAATAATTGTTGTCGGTAGTTACAAAAAAACACTGCAGAACATAATCACTTTCCCCTGGGCTAACATTTAGGCATCATGTGAGCGTGAATGATTGAATTAAGGGGTATGTAATAGGAATCTTAATAAGTAAAATAATTCTTCAATACTAAGGGGTTCTAGAGACAGACCAGGGTACTAACATGGAGCTCATGCCCATAAATAGTGATTGATTCGAGACTGACTTGGTTTCTCATATGGGTCTATATAAAGTTCTTTTATCAACTAGGTTTTCTTTGTGCCACGTTTGTTAAATATTGATATTGATGCTCTGTTAAACTTTTGACAAAAGTTTAGATTATGAATAATTTAAAGTTCATGATATTCTGCTAGATCACGTTCTTAAACTTCAAACAAAATTTAACAGAGCCTCCATAGTTCTTACAACCGGCTAATAATAAGTAGTTCCAACCTTGTAGGAAGATATACAGCCAAGCTAGGAGATATATCCCACGCCAATCTAGTATAATCATGCCACTGTTTATCTGAAATAGTTTTAGCTCTCCAAAATGCTACATTTTCTTCTCCTGGCATTTGTAATTCAGGTCTAAGTGTAGGATTATGCCATACTATAAGGAACTCTATCTCCACAGCCTAAAAAATAAATAATTGAAAGAAATATTTAGCATTATCGAATTATTATTCACTATTTACTCAAAATTTGAATTCTTACCAACAATTCGAGTATGAGATTTCTCTTTTTCAAGTAGCATTTGACAAAATTATCAGCAACGGGTATTCTTTTTACAGATTTTGCAGATCTCTTACTCAAAGTAGCACTGCTATTCGAAAGAGGTACTGTATTGATCCATCCTGTAGCAGATTTGCTAAATTCGTTAGGTTTGGCGAGTTCGTTGCTAGGCATAGAACTAACTGGAGATGGGGCGGTAAAATCTACCTCTAAAAATACAAAACACAAAAGAACATAAGGATGAATAATGGTGTGAGCCATAAGTGTTTTTCAGGAGTTAGCCATGTCAGATCTTATAACTCCAAATTATAATCATTTTTCTACAATGATTTTGTTTGCTTACATTATAGGAAAACCTTTCATAGAATGGAAAAGTGCCTAACATTTAAATAGTAATTGAATCGTCAAATTTGATTTGCAATTCTTGTTAAACAGTAAACTATTAATACACTGCCCCAAAATTAAACTGATTAATTCTAATTGTATTGAAATTTTAATTTATTAAATATTAAAATAATCGTACTCTATACTAACTATCTATAGCCGAAATCTTTAAGGCAAAAATAAGAAAAAACTAAAAACGTAAATAATGATAGAATGGCTGTTTTTCTTTGAAGTAAAATGTCATTATGTCATACTAATATAGTGTATATAGGGATGAGTCAACTACCAAGCACTCCTTCAGACTTACAGGTTATTACAGGTTTATTATTTGCCTTAGAAATTAGATATTTATATTTTATTAGTATTTATATCTGTCAAAACTAAACTATTTAGATATCAGCTGAACCACTTTAATATTTTAAAATTATTAGTACATATCTTGTTTCTTATATTATCTTATAATAAATGAAGTTTATTAATATTATTATATGCCGCATTTAATAATTTTAGTATTAGCGTGTTACATGGCAAATGCTATCAAATACATGAATATCAATTCTATATTTATATATTTGATACAAAAACATTTCATACAATTAAAAATTAAATTAACAAAATAATCAAATTATAATTAAAGTTAAAGCACCTAGGTGCAAGCACCTGTATGTGCTAAAGTAAAGTAATAGCATAGTAATATACACATTTATACTTATAGTATACATACATATACAGTGAGCATCATAAGTCTTACCCCCCTAACTAACTCGTTACTGGAGTCTTGTTAGGAAAATCGCCGAGACAGGTCGATTTTTGTTTTCTACAATGTACATTTTTGTATGATTAGTTTACCCTTAATTTCATCCCTTACTAACCCTTTCGAAAAATCTAAATGACATGGGGTGGTGAGTGATAGCTCATTTGAAAGGGGGTTTTATTCTCTATTCAACCATGCAAAAAAACATTAAATTTGCTTCATTACGTGTTGATTTATTAATGTTTAAAAATAACAAAACCTCACAAAATAGGAAAGCAACTAAACTAATAGTGACCTTCTAATGGCAAAAAGTCTTACTTCACGTCTGAACCAAAACCGAAATCATGCAGGGCCGAATTTTAATTCTAAGGATGAGTGCGCTACATTAATTTCCGTTATTCTGAAACAACAATTAGTCGAGAATTAATGAAGCAAATTTCAAAATTTTTTACATGGTTGAATAGAGAATAAAACCCTCTTTCAAATGAGCTATCACTCACCACCCCATGCCATTTAAATTTTTCGAAAGGGTTGCTCCCCTACAGTAAGGGATGACATTAAGGGTAAACTATTCATACAAAAATGTACAATGTAGAAATCAAAAATCGACGTGTCTCGGCGATTTTCCTAAAAAGACTCCAGTAACGAGTTAGATAGGGGGGGGGTAAGACTTATGGTGCTCACGGTATACATAGTTTTAAAATATCTGTAATAAGAATACAAAATTATCTAGAGTACATCTACACATTGATAGGTAAGGTGTTAAAGATTTTGGGAGGAATATAAGTTACAAATCTTTGACTTGCATCTAGTCATTTCTTTTCCAAACATTTATATTCAAAAAATAATAAGTTCTTACCCCCAACATCACTCGCCTTGAGGTATTTCTTGTCAGAATGTAAATTTTGCCAAAATTTGATAAGGGTTGATATGTCTTCTCGTAAATCGACAGACTTTTGTGAAGGGCATGTAATAGGTTTACAAAAATAGTCTAAGCAACTACAGTATATTCGTTCTCTCAGTACGTTTTTTCCTAAACTCTTCGGCAGAGTGTCTCCTTGTAACAAGGATAAACCACAAGAGAGGAGCCTAAAAAAGTATTGAATACGATTATTATATGAAAGCATTTTTAAAAACAAGATGCCATGTGTCACAAAATAATACCAGATATATTTTCCCTCCAGAGCACTACTTTTTGGCTAATACCGCAACAGGCATATCCAAAAGAAAACAGCAGAGAGCAGAAAATTATTTTTAAAACTCGCAATTTTGATTTTGTTTATTACATTTCTTGGACCAGTTTCATCCTCATTAAGACTCATCAGCAAGAAATAGACATTCGATTCCAATATCTAATGAAACCTGCAGATGTGTTAAATTCACTCATATACATGGACTGTGGTCTTATTATTTTGTGACACATGGCTTTGAAAATTTTCCTTTTATTTTGAATATGTATTTATTTTCCTTTTTTAAATATTGAATTGTTTTTTGTAATATAACGTTGCTTAACATACTTAAATCTGACACCGATTGCAGAAATATGTCTAGTCTGTGAGGGAGGTTCGGAACCAACATTCATGGTAAGGGAATGATGTATTAAACTACTAATCATCTCCACCTTTTCGTAACTGCTGTATTTTATCGTTTCAACCAAATCGCAAATAAACTGAACCCAAATAGCATGAGGTTTTACAAATGGCGGATCCGGCTCCAATTTACAACCTAAAAGGAAAAATTAACATCAAATAATAATATTACAGGGCAAGAATTCATGTTTTTTTTAATTATATAAGACTGACAGTTATTTAAAGGTCTATATCTTCAAATTTTAAAAATTAATTATGACTTTTACTAATTTGTAAAATAAAATGAACTCAAAAAACAAAGATTTTATTTAAATAGAGACTAGACCTTCCGAATGACAAGTACGCTAGTCTCAACTCTATCGAAACACTTAACCTTTTATTTCTAATACTTATAATCAAATTGATTTTATATGGTTTTATTAAAAAAATTTATAAATATAGATGAATATCATTAAATCTTCACAAGAATCACTTAATTTTTATTATATTATTTCATTTCAATCATTAAAAAATATACTGAAAATTAGTTTGACAAGTCGTGGCTATATTTTTGAAACATAAATCTCTATACCTAACTCACAAACGTTTTACAAGAAACTAGCACTGTCAAATTTCTACATTGTAATATTAAAATAAATATTAACCTTCATGTGCAGCCAGTGGACTAACATTGGGTCTAAAAACAGAAAATAAACCCAGCTTTTTTTGCACCGTACACTTCCAAGCCGCTACCATTTCTTGCAAAAACCTAATTTCTAGTTCGGGTCTCGATGTAATCAACCATTGCCAACAATCAACCGCAGATATCATTGCTTCCACAGTAAAAAGTTCCACCTTAAAAAAAACACATTAAAAATAAAAGGTGCTTAAAAACATATATTTACAACGATCATAGGCAAAAGTAATTTACCTGTGACCATGCGATGCAATGTAAGAGACGTCTGTCTACTTCCTTAGTTGATAAAAGCAGAGCAGTAGCTTGCCAAAGGGCGTCACGGTGTAAGGAATTACTTCTCTCCTTGCAAGCTGACCAGACTTTATTTAAAACTTCGTAAACCAAAGTGCTTTTGTTTTTATTCGAATCATATTGCATACCAATAACCTGCAACAAATATTAAGATGCTTACAGAATGATGCCACAATCGAAGTAAACTGGTGTATGTTTTTTTTTTTCAGCGAGAACTATTCGAGCCGCCAAACAAGCAACAACTAAACCAATCTCCGCGCGAACGATAGTATTTTTAACATTAAACTAACATAGAAAGATGTTTTAAGCCAGAATCAAACTCAATTACATGTAAAAGTATCACTCAAGTCTTATGTGGTTATAAAATCAAAAGTTTATAAAGTTAAAATAAACCAATTGACAGAAGCAAACATGTTAATTTGTTCATTCCACAAGATTCGTCATAAATACAGTCCACGACTCTATCCTGTAAATTGGAAGGAAGCAGGCAGCGAAAATTTAAGAAAAAACACCGCTGGCCTTCGACAGATTTAAGGCCGTATTATTGTAATAATAGTTCATGGTCAAGTATATTGAATGCTTTCGAAAAAATGGTGTAAATGCAACCTAACTTGAATCGTCCATTTTGTTTTTATAGGCTTAAGACCTTTCCATACATCTTTATATAGGAATGAAGGTGATAGAAGTAGTGAAACATTATTCATAAAAGGAGTGAAATTAGGATCATATTGAACTGATAGATGAATGAAAAAATGATGCAAAATAATTTAGTAACAGTTTCAATAAATCATCTTTGGTTTTATTAGGTATAGTCGAAGCAATGAAGGAAAAAGTTCCTGGGTTTTTCCGTGCAAGTAGGATCGGAATGCGGTTTTTTGCATTCGCATGCAAAAATTATTTGTATCATTCCCCCGTAATTTCCGGGTCATACAAACCGGAAATTGCATTGCTGCAGCCAAAAATGCATTCAAAAAATGCATTATTTGAGAGGCCTCTTGAATGATTTCAAAACTTGTTAAATAAGTGTCAGAACTAGCCCAGATCGGGTGCTCGGGAGTACTGGAGGTCGCTGATCACGATTATGATGTCTAAATTGACCCACAGCCGACCTGGAGCTCAGGAACGTCGACGAACGTCATCTTCGTGGGACTCTCCCAAAATTCACGCAGGGAAGGAGGGCAACTAGGCGATCGGGGTTTTTATGGGTAGCTGAATCCAAATATGACATCGGCGAATACCACCCGGACACCTGGTACGCCCAACCCTCGACCTAGACGTCATCTTCGAGAATTTTCCTCACAATATCGACAAGAACAACCCGAAAATGATTGAGCGGAGTTTTTTGGGGCGCTGAATCTAAATTTCACGTCGAAAACGACCCCCTGAATACCTGGTTCACCGGAACTTGGCCCTGAACGTCATCCCCGAGGGGTTTCCAGACCCAATTGAAAAAGACGAACCGAAAATCGTTAAAGGAGGTTTTTTGGGGCGCTGAATCCGAATTTCACGTGGAAAACGACCCCCCGAACACCTGGTGCGCCCTAACTTGGCCCTGAACGTTTTCACCGTGGTTCTTCCAGACTTAATTGAAAAAGACGAACCGAAAATCGTTAAAGGGGGGTTTTGGGTCGCTGAATTCAAATATGGCATCGGCGAACACCGCATGGACACCTGGTGCGTCTTTTTATTTTGACCATGGAAAACAACCAGTTTATTATTTTGTTAAAATATTGTAAAATATATTTAAAAGTTCGTTAAAACATTTTTTTGTTTTTGTATTATCTTCAGATGTTCTGATTTATTTCAAAAAAGTAAATCAAATGATTGGTCTCTCTTTTAACGTTTTAAAATTGTTTTGCGCCCCTTCTATTAAAAATTAAAATGACCTGACTATTATTTATCACCCATTTTTGACATTCCTATATTCCAAAAATTCAAACACGTCACAACGAAATAAACACTGAAAAAATTAATGTATTTTCATACAAGTTTTAAATCACTAAATTAAATATTTCATGGATATCTCCACACTGGGTAAATACTGCGCAAAAATAACATGTAACCGAGTCGATTTTGCGCCTATAAAATGCAACTTGTGTAAATTGGACTTTTGTCGTGAACATTACAGAGAAAGTAGACACAACTGTCCATCCGTTTTTAACAAATACATAGAACTGACCAAAGATAAAGAAGGTAAAAGATTATATACCATCAGTCCATCAAACAAAAACCCATTAGATACTCCTCCTGACCATTTCAGACCTAAAAAGGTGATAAGAGAACATTTTAATTGGAAAAACCGTTTCATCAAAATATTAAAAAATGAGACTGACGAAATTTTCACTAAGCAATGTTCTTTGGTAACCTGTAAACGAAAAGAAGCAATATCCGTTTTGTGCCCGCTGTGTAACAAAAGATTTTGCTTACGACATCGCAATCCAGACTCTCATCTTTGTGAAAAATTTAAATGGCTTAATAATAAAAGAAATTTCGGTACCTACATATATACAGGTTGGAGCGACAAAACTGTCGAAACTGATTCCAACTTATGGGACGAAGAAAAAGAAATAGTTACAGTTGATTCAAGTACAACGAATGAAACTTAACTACTATTTATATATTGTAAATACGATAAATCAACGTTTAATTTTATTTAAAAATGTGAATATGGCAAGTATAGTAAACATGGAATGATTAATACATAACTAAATAAACAAAACATTGTTATAATTAGTAACCATTTTAAATTATTTTATTTTTATCCAACAAAAACCAATTAGAGAGTGGGAGTAACCAGAATATATAAATTAGTGCACAAAGAAAAATATTGTAAATATTCAGTTGAACATAATACAGGGTGCGTCATAATCAACGAGCCTGGTGGGTAAAACGACAAATGATATTAACAATTCCTTTGGCACAAATATACAACTCAACAGAGGCTATAAATTAAAATTAGTTTCATATAGAGGGTGTAACACCACGCATAGTTAACAGTTTGACCCACGTAGACCCAAATCTAATCTAAATAAATAATAAATCGTCTTTATAAATAAATTGTACAAAGAGACACAGTTTAGCTACAAGCTATTCTTACACTTAACCTAAAAGTATAATATAAAAAGAGGTATAATGCTTTTAATAAAATAATAAAGAAAATTAAGATTTTAACTGATTTTATCATTAATTAAATTTCAAAATAATAATAATGTTACGCCGATTTTTGGTATCACAATTTATTTCAATTCAACTTTACAATAACTCATTTCAACTTTAACAATAACTATCCAATTGATAACGTTAACGTATAACGTCTATCATCAAAACCGAAAACGGACGTCAGGATCATCCTTATATAGCTTGCACTTCCGGTGCAATAGGCCATCGTGAAGATACAGGGAATCCCACTGAATCTAGTACCCTTTAACGGTTCCACTATATTTGGCTATATCTTGCCATGTAGGTCTGACTCCATTTTAAGCCATTCTCGGATAACCTTCAAGTCATTGTCTTTCTTAAGCTTTCAAGGGTAATTCCGTCTTCGTCGTCCTTATTTGTTATCCTGAGCAATTTAAATGCATTCGTAATTGCTCACTCTAATCTCTTGTAGATTCCGTACCCATTTTTCTTATTTTTAGTTTAGTTTGCACCGCTCTTTTATTTTTCCTTTTCCACAGCCTTAATTCTACAATACTATAATGCTACAATATGGATCCATTTTTGTGATTTATACTATTTAATTTTAATCCAACCTATTCTTATATCGTTCCTATTAAAATAATTAAAAATTATTGTATTACAGGCCTGAAGATGTCCCTATGAGGCCGAAACTAGTCTCCTGTATTTATTTATAATAAAACTGATGTATTGGTTTTAAGGTTTTATTCTTTAATTGAAAAATAAACCTTTACAGAAATTTTGTTTTATTTCCTGCATCAGACATATATAAGATTATATACATTTCAAAAATAGTAAAATAAACGAATTTTTTAGTTTTTTACAATTAAAAATTTTTGGACAATGTGTATTCTTACAGAGAAATGATACGCCACTGAACAAGAGGTGAATTTACCTTCCCCCTTGTGCCCGCCTTAGATAATGTGCCCGCTTCCTCACTTCCTCTACAGATGTTTCGAACACAACATTCACCTACAAACTCGTTTTACGCTCCCTCTAGTAGTAATTGCTCGGAATTCAGAAGTAAAACTTTGACGTTTGTCACTTAAAAACCATTTATATGCATAAAACAATCTTTCAACGTCCACGGACGTCACGGGGGTATATATGAAGTTTCTTAGATTTAAAAATGGCACATTTATGTTTTCTTGAGCAAAATCTACTTCTTTACTTTTTAAAAGATTCACAAGTCTACATAAAGTAGGAAAACTAGCATTAAAAACCTTTTTCTATTTATTTCTTATACGATCAGCAACGGTTCCTGACAATTGTAAAATGATATGGTGGATATGACCAATAAATTTCAATTCCGGGAAATCGTTTATCCACTGTTCTACTCGAACGAGATGGATTTTTCAATGACATTTTCACAATGTGAAAAAATATATTTTGTCACTTTTGTCACTTCAACTAGAAACCTAAACTGGTCCATTTTTATGCTTAGGTAACATATCTCTGTTTGACAAACGATGACGTCAGTACCTGAATGCATGGTTACGTATTTAACACTTTATCGAGAAATATTATAATCTAGGGTTCGAAATTTAGTACCTGTTTATTCTGTTGGGTCAACGTTATTTTAGCTGAAATCAGTTGCATAGAAACAGTTTCTCGCGTGCACGGAGTTCGAAACGTCGATCAGGCGCGTATTTTTGTTTGGTCGTTACCATGACAAGGGTCCATATGACAACAGTTTTCCCATAACTGGTTTCAGCTAAACTAAAGTTATATTAAATCCTCAAAAACTTGGTAAATTCGCATTTCCTAACCACTTTCTATTTAACTGGTTTTAACTAAACTAAAGTGAAAATGAAATCATCTATAACTTGGTAACTACGCATTTCCTCACCACGGGATTTGAGTTTCATTTAGTCGTTACCACGGCAAGCGTTCCCATGGCAACAGTTAAACCATAACTGATTTGAGCTAAAGTGAAAATTAAATCATGTATTACTTGGCAGCTATGCATTTCCTTTGTGATTTGAGTTTTTGTTTAGCATTTAAAATGACAAGTGTCTAAAGTAAAGTATAAATAAAATCATCTATAACAGTGTCTCTATAACTAATTTCAGCTGAAGTAACTTGTATATAAACTAATCTTCAATTTGGCAACTACGCATTTTATCACTACAAGATGTGGTTTTTTTATTTAGTTGTTACCGTTAAAGCGTGCCCATTGTAACAGTTTTTGCAAAACTGATTTCAGCTAGATGACATTAAACAAGAACCGTAATCATCTATAACTTGGCAACTACGCATTTCCACACCGTGGTATTTCGATTTTTGTTTACTCATTGCTATCACAATTGTTGCCATGACAACAGTTTCTGCATAACTGTTTTTAGCTAAAGAAAAATTATTAACGATCGGATAATTGAAAAATGTTAAAATAAAAACAGTTTTCATTTTGTATGTGAATATCTACAATGATATCTGTCTTTACCCTAATTTGACATCCTCAGTTATACACATAATTCCGAGCTTTGTTTACCAATATAGTAGTAGTAGTAGTAATAGTAGTAATTTTTATTTACCATAAAAAATACAATATTTAAAATACATAGGTATACATTAATTAACAATTTGTTTTGTTGGTAAATAAAAATGAAACCCCACAAAAGGAAAATCCTGAGCGTGGGTGAGAAATTTCATTTTTTATTCCATGGTTCAACAATAATAATTTTGTAAAATATTTAAAATAAAAAACATAAAATAGGTAACTATTTAGTTATTCTTGGGGATAAGCGCTGAGAGTTTCACGTAATTTCGCGAGTGAAAGAATGTCAGTAATCTTTCAGACTATAACAAAATATACTTGAATGAAGAAATTGTTTTAACTTTGTGAATGGTAAACTTAGAATCCATTCTGTAATTTTCTTTTTATATAAATTATATGAGTTGATTTTTTTAATATCAGAGGGGAGTTCATTATATAATTTAGGGCTCAGATAAGTAAAGCATTTCTGGCCGATTGTTTTTGCTGTTCTTGGTACAGTAATTGAATCGATTTTGTGTCTAGTATTGTATGGATGGATAACAGGTTCGGAGTATTTTTTATCTTTATATTGTCTTAACAATAGAATTTTGGCATACAATTGGTACACATTAAAAAATTGTGTATGCATATAGAGCATTTCAGTCGGGTAAATTCTTGGTAATTTATACATGTTTTTTAGGATACATTTCTGGATTTTTTGTAAGTTTTCTATAAGTGTTATTCCTGCGGAGCCCCATACAATTATTCCATAGGATAAATGAGATTCCACGAGAGCATAATATAATATTTTAAGATATTTAATATTTAATAAATTCGAAAGATTTTTAAATTTGTACACAATTGATCGAAGTTTTTTTATTACATAATTTATTTGAAAATCCCATTTTAAATGAGAATCTATGTATATTCCTAGGTATTTGGTGTTATTGGTAGACCTAATTTTTATTTGTTGATTTCCTTTCTGAATTATTTGAAGGTACTTATATGTTGGTAAATTATTATTATATGAGGTAAAAGGTATGAATGATGTCTTCTCATAGTTTATAGTAAGGGCCTTATAATTAAAAAAGTTAGAAATATTTTGAAAATCTTGTTCAGCGGTATTTTTAAGTGTTTCCCAGTTATTATGTTGATAAAAAATTGAGGTGTCATCGGCAAAACTGATAACTTCTCCTTTGAATTTCTGTTCAAATAGGTCGTTTAAATAAATATTAAACAATAATGGTCCGAGGACTGTTCCCTGAGGAACACCACATTTAATAACTTTGTAATCACTAAGGATATCGTTGATGTTAACCATTTGTTTTCTATTTTTTAAATAGCTACTTAGTAATTTGTACGTTACTCCTCTAAATCCGTAATTTTCTAGTGTTTCTAAGAGTTTTTGATGGTTAACCGTATCAAATGCTTTTGCAAGATCGACAAAAATGCACAATGATGGTTGTTTTTCATCTATAGAATTGTTGATAAGTTTTGTCAATCTTGCAATAGCATCCGAAGTTGAGGTTTGTTTTCGAAAACCATATTGCCTATCTGAAAGGATTGCATATTTATTTAAAAACGACGTCATTCTCTTTTCAATAATTTTTTCAAATATTTTTCCAACGCTTGATATAATAGAAACTGGTCGGTAATTAATAACATTAAATGAGTCTCCTTTTTTATACATCGGTATTATTAACGACTCTTTAAGGGAATCTGGAAATATACCAGCATCAATTGATTTATTTATAAGAAAGGTCAATACTGGAGAAATTTCTTGATATAACTCTTTAAGAATTTCGGATGTTATGTTGTCTAAACCTGGCTTTTTATGATTTTTTAGGGAAAAGATAGTTTCTGTAACTTCTTTGTTGTCTGTACTTGATAAAAATATTGATTTATTGTTTTTTCTTTGAAAAATTTTTAATTTTTGATTTCTAGATAATTTTAAGGCCATAGTTTCCCCAACTGTAGTATAATGTTCGCAAAAAATATTTGATATTTTTTCTGGGTCATTTGTAATATCTCCATCTGGAGTCTTTATTTGTGTAATAGATTGTGTTGTTCCTTTTGAATTAGATACCTCTTTAATGCAGTTCCAAATATTTTTGGTAACATTTTTATTTTTTTCAATTTTTTGGTTATAATATTCAGTTTTTGCCTTTCTTATTAATAAATTTAAGTAATTGCGGTGATTTTTAAAGTTTATTTTATTTTGTTCGATATAATTATTTTTCATCAATTTGTATAATGTATTCTTTTGTTTGATAGATGTAAGTAGCCCCTTGGTAATCCATGGCTGAATTTTAATTTCATTTCTTTTTAATTTTACTTTATGCATAGAATTCTCTATGTACCATTTTAGTTTGTTTATAAAATTTGTAAAGCTAATATTAGTATCATTTGTACTATAGACATCTAACCAGTTTTCTTTTTTAATTTTTTCCTTTAATTGTTTTTTGTTGAGAATTGACTTGTATTTTTTAGAACATTTTATATTTTCATTTAAAACTATATTACTGACTATTGAGTAGTGATCAGTGATGTGTGTTTGAACAATATGATAGTAGAATTTAATTTGTTGGTTTTAATATAAAGGTGATCAATACAGGACTTTTCGTTGCCCCTTTCTCTTGTATATTTATTTATATGACTTATAAACCCTTCTTGGCTTAATATATTTAAGTAATCATGAACGTGGTTATTTTCGAAGTTTAGAATATCGATATTTATGTCTCCAACTAATACATGAAAATCTGCTTTATTTGCAGTTTTTAAATACTGAGATAGGTTTTCTATAAAATTGTTTTGATTGGTGGGTCCTGGTCTATAAATACCATTTAATAAAAAACTTTTTTTATAAATATTTGCGGATATCTCTATTACATTTATTTCATCAAATTTAATTATTTTGAAAGTTATATTATATGTTTCTTTTGCAAATACAATCACTCCATCACACTGATTAAAGTCTCCTTCATTGTAAAACAAATTATAACCCGGTATATTAAATAGTGATGTGTCTATTAATTGCCATGTTTCTGTAAGTACAATAAAATCGAAATTATTACTTATCTGTCCCAAATTTATTTTTAGTTCGTCTAAGTTTTTATTTATGCTTCTAATATTCATATGATAAATTGAAATAGATTGTTTTTTCTGATGTTCTTGCAATATTTCATTATAGTCCGGAAGATCACTGACAACATTTGTGTTAATATTTTCAATTTGAAAATCTCTTAAATAGTTATCCATTTGGCAATTTATAAAATATTTAATAGCTTGTCCTAGTAAAATTTAAAATTTAAAATGAAGAACAGAAATGGGTTAGTATTAAGTAAAATATCTTAAGTTGTATTAGTATAAAATGCAATAAAATATTGGATAAGAATTTAAATAAAATATAAGAGAAGGAAATTTTAAGTTGGCAATGTATTTATTTTTCGGGATTGAGCCTAGGAGATTGTCTTACGTTAATATTTTCCAGTAGACTTCTTTTAGCTGTAGTTGGATTAATCAATGGATCTCTTTCTGAAGCCTTTCTTTTACTCTTCTCAGATTTTGAATTCGGGTTGTTTTCGTTGTTTCTATCTTGTTGTACCGCTAATGTTGCTCGACTTGTAGTTTGGACTGGTGGCAGATTTTGAAGCGGTTGTACTGCTGGCTGACTTTGAAGCGTTTGTACTGCTGGCTGATTTTGAACAGATGCTATTGTTGATGTATTGTTTAAGATATCTTCATAGGTAAAAGCTTTACCTTCTACATATAAGGTCGCTTTATATATATGAGCCTTGTGTTTGTTTTCTTTTTCTATTTTTAATTGTTTTGCTAAAATTTGCCTAATGGTTCTCTCTTCTCCAGATAGTTCTTCTGTTATTATAATGTCCGTGCCTTTTAATTTACTGCAGTTTTTTAATACTATTTTTTTTGTTATGTAAGAAACAAATTTTATAATCACAGGTTTGTTTGTTTCTCTTTTTCCAATTGTGAATAAATTATTTATGTCGGCCGTTACTAGGTTTAATTCAAGTTTTGTATTTAAAAGGTGTAATGTATGAGTTAATAGGTCCCCACTTTTAAATTTGGAGTATACACAGAATATACACAGAATGTTTTTAACATTTAATTGACAAATATTTTGATGAATAATTGAAGTCCGTACCTGGAATTACTTATTAACATGACAAATATGCAAACCTAACAACCTAACCATTGGATTCATAGAATATTTTTCAGTTAGAAAGAGAATAATAGTAATAGATTTATTTTCATATAGATCCGGCCTGTTTCATTTTTTCCTACATTAATCACATGCGTTTTTGCAATATATTTCTATCTATAAAGTTCACTTTACTGAGTTAAGAACTAAGCTTAACCTGCCAAATAAGAATGAATGTTGTAGTTTTTTGCTTACCTCTCCAATATACTTCGATCTCATAGCAGAAATGGACAACATTTTCGACGATTCGCTTTTAACACATTTTGGAAACTTATCCAGCATCGAATGGCTCAAAAACGCGCTGAACTGATTGGGAGGACCCCATTGCATTACAGATTCTAACGCCATCGATAATCCAGTATGATGCCACAAACCACTTGTAGGAATTTGATTGATGTACTCCTGTATGTGAGATCTTGTCCAGTGAGGAGCCCATTTCAGAGCTTCTTTGATGATACGTTCCGCGTTTGCAGCAAAATCTTTCACAATGGTCTGAAAATTAAATATAATATATAGAACTACCTGATTCTGTTTTATTAATTAAACATTAGTATAATATTCACCTCTCTAGCTTCTAAGGTGTCCATAAGTTGAATAGAATATGGGGTGGAAGGTATTCTCAAAGTTGGAGTTTCCTGATTAGGATCTATTTCCAAAGAGTAAGACAAAACTTGCATTATATCCAATATTGTCCAAAGAACTCTAAAACAAAAAAGCAAATTTTTCTATTATACTATTCAATATACTATAGATGAGATGTATTTTGTTGTTATAATTATTTCAGAAAAGATTGTTGTACACCGACACTTTTCATATTCATAGAAATTTTTTCAAATAAAAATTGCTTGTAATATTATTCTCTATAATTTTTGTCGTATACATAATTTTCCTAAAATAGTCCGCATTTTGTCAAAAAGTGCCAAATACGAATTTTGAATATAGCTCAAAAACGGATAAAGTGAAAAACATCAAATTTTTAATTTTTTTTTTTTCGATCTATTGCCAGTTATGGTTGAAGTACAGCGAACCCTGCTTAACTCGACGCCAGGAGAATGCAAGCTTGCATTCTCACGTTCATTCGACCTTTCCTTTATTTCATGTAGAACAGTTCATTATTAATTTAGAATTTAATGTAGTAAGAAGTAATAAAATTTATATTCTTGAAATTTGTTTTTTAAAAAGTTATTTTGCCTGTCTTAATACTATTTTTGGAGTATCAGTAGCGCCATCCATCAACAATGAAACTGTCATTAATCATTGTTAGATGGTGGTAAACATTTCGCATCAATAACTTATAAAAATATATATTTACCTTCTACTCCACAATAAATGTGGAAATTTATCAATTAAACTAGCCAAAAATTTATCAGATACTCTTCTTATCTGTTTATGCTGGTGGTTAAAATTTACTAGCAAAAACTGGGCGTGTTCTTCAAGATCTTCTTCTCTAGACTCATTTTTCGGTCTATCCTTCATAACCCCTAGGAATTTTTCGAAAACTCTTTCGCTAACGGACTGAATGCAACTCCACATGCCAGCTTTATCTTTTTGAAGAGCGGAATCACTTAAGTAATCAGAGATTATTGGCACTAGGGATGGTTCACCTGAATGTTCAACTCTAAAAACAGAAATTTACTTCAAACACTATTAGCTTAATTCACAAAGCAATCTTGTATTTACCTGTAAATTCTTAAAGATAGAAATGTCAACGTCAACTAATGGAAAAATTATAGGAACGTTGAAGTTGATATCAATAATGAAAGTTTACATTTACATTATTTTAACAAAACGAATTAGAATTGTGTTAAAAACAATTGGGCAATTAAAATCACGTAACTTTAAAAGGTGGACCCTTGACAAAAACAACAAAAGTACGTGCTTCCCATGACAAAAACACTTCTAGTGAGGTTGTTGATCTAAGTTCCTATTATTTTTTTTGGAGCGTGTAGTTTTTTTGGTTTGTTTAGTAGTTTAGTTCAGAAATGGTATAATTTAATATTTATTTTGAATATATGAATTAATTCTAATTGTATGATTTACAGTAACAGTCAAACACTAATGAAAGAGGCAGGTTAACATACTTTTTGTCTGTGTATCGGCCATGTTTGCCCATTCTGACAACATTGGATTGCCAAATTCTCATTTTAATGTAATAGAGTCGGTAACGAAATTTGTGAAAAATGCTGTCACTTGTCATTGAGCTAGGACGTCACTTTTATTTAATATTTGGGACAATCGAATTTGTTGGAAAAACAGATCTACTATCGTAAATTATTATTATTATTCTTCTAACCAGCAAAATAAAAAACTGAATTCTCAAACACATTTTATGTATAAATCAGATTTCATTTTTTATCAGTAGGATACAAAATCACAATTTCCAATCACCGATCTCCTAGCAAAAACACGTAAAATAACGCACATAAACTGAGTCTCTTATATAAGGCTATACATTTCCAAATTTTCTAGAAACTGTTAAACAAGGTATCTATCTATTTATCTATCTATCTTGTTTGCAAAGTCGTAAACTTTTCTCAGACAAATGCGAACATTCCTCTGGGGGTACCTGGGGAAACCCTCGACTAAAACAAAACCGGCGGGACCACACCGCCTTCAAATCTGATTGAATGGATTCGAAACGATCAACCTTTCTCAACCTCCCAAGAGAGAAATGGAAGAACAAAAGAAAGGCGAAGAGAGAAGAGGAGAATCGCCGCTTCATCTTCTTCATCCTCCTCTCACCACTCATCGGCGAGGGAAACTCCCCTCAAAAAAGAATATAAACGGAAGCTACCTCCCCTACCTCAGCTAGGACCACATGGTGGAAGGGACGACCCACTGAGGCGTGGACTCAGTAGGGCAGGTGTGAGGTGGTATCATCGCTACCTCGATCATTGCATGACACCAAAGGAAGCGAAAAAGAAAGCCTTGGAGCACAAATTCCAGGGAGAGGAAAGTAAAATAAATCTAAAAAGAGAGTGGGGCGGGAGCAACACCACACCACAGCAAAGGAAAGAAAAGGGGTCGCTACCCCCGCTTAAGGGGTTCCCACAGTGCGGACAACCAAACCTTAGTGGAGGAAGCCATAGTAGAAGAGATGTTCGCTGGATGGGAGCATAAGCTCCAATTCGGCAGCATCCACTTCCAGCCAGGAATGGTCCTAAACGACTGTGAAACCCCAGTCAGCAAAATGTCTCAGGAAAAAATCCCACAGCTGAGCAACTGGAAAGGAGAGGGGTTGGATTTATGTGCGGGAAACGACATCACGAAAGCACATACAGTCAGTCTTTCTCCCAAGAAGTCAAAGGCAGATCGTAGAGAAGCTTCTACGGTTAATAGAAGCGCATAATGTGGGACTATCGACCACACTGTGGAAAATCGTCAGCCAAAAAGTTGAGGGCAAAGGTTAGGAATAGATTACCTATCCTGCCAAAGGATCAAGCATAATGGATACACTATACACTATCGATTCGGGAAAATTCTGTACACCGCCTTCAAAAGAAAGCGAAAGCAAAGAAACCGGGAGAACACGCAGAAGCAACTTCCAATACTTTCAAAGATGAGAATGATATAGAGACGTATAGAGATTATTAACCTCTCAAATCTCAAAATAGATGAAGTAACAGAAGAGGGGAACTCACCCTCACTGATGGAGAGTAAAATGACGGGCGTCGATATCACCCAAGTGAATGTCCATCACGCCAAGAGAGCCTCAGCTGTGATCTCTAGGACATTCCCCAAAAAACAATTAAGGTTCATACTGATCCAGGCACCGTGGGCCTACGGAAACCAAGTAAGAGGACTTGCATGTAAAGATACAAGGGTAATTTATCACACTAATGATGAAATACTATAACAGTCAAACATTTTTATTGTTCCATTTTAAACTTTACCACCAAAATTTTGCAGTTCAGATATCACTGGAGGCCGAAGAAATAATTGTTATAGTTTAAAATTTTATGTCTCCTTTGTCCCGTGACGTGTACCAATTTTAGAAAATTTAAATTTTGTTGCCAAATGTCTACTTTTATTTTACTATTAGTCCATCTGTGTATATTGTAGAAAGAGTGAAATAGAAAAAAAATAAGTATCTGTTCTTTTTTTAACAATTCTGGACAATGCATTAAGTGGTGTTGCAACAAAATAAAAAGGGTACCCTGTCAAGGTTATGGTGCCGCGAGGTGTGACTTAGTATACATCTAGTAGTCTTTTCAAGGAAGAGAAAACTCGATATCCAAACAGTTAAATTAGACGGGATAGATATAGAATGGAAAAAAGAAGTCAAATATCTAGGCCTAACCCTGAACAACAAACTTCTTTGGAACATACATGAGAAGGAAGTAGTAATTAAGGCCACAAAAGCCCTAAGGGTATGCAGAAATATTGCGGATAAAAGATAGGGATGTAACCAGAACTCATTGCGATGGATTTATACAGCAATAGTGAGACCAATCATCACCTACTTAGCCAGGAGTAACAAAAGTAGTTTAGCCACTACGAGAGCTAATATAAAAAAAGTACAAAAAATAGTTTGTGTTTGCATCACCGGTGCAATGACAACTTGTCCTATAGCCGCAATGAAAGTGATCTTAAACCTCACCCCTCTAAATTTAATGACAGAGAATGTGGCAAAAGGACACAATATAGAATGATCAGGAACGGAGTAATCAGACGAAAGTTTACTATCTTCAGGACCGAAGATACTTGGGATATGCCCCAGGATGAAATGAAAAAGTATAGTTTTGTGAAAAACTTCAAAACCACAAAGCTGGGATGCAAGAAAGAATGGAGCCAAGAATCCATCGTGCTTGCAACCGAAAAACATGCTATTCAGTGGTATACGGATGGTTCCAAAACCATAGAAGGAACTGGAATAGGAGTGTATCCAGTTTAACATCGAGGCACTGAGAGAAACTATCGTAGACAAGAGATTACCATCATGTCAGATAGCTAAGCAGTCATCAAAGCACTGAGCTCTTACATAATCAGCTCAAAAATGGTTTGGAAATGCCTAGAAAAACTAAACGAACTAGGCGAGGAAAATACAGTTACTTTCACTTAAGTGAGTGTTTAAGAAACGCTAGTGCAGCAGTTACATATTATGCAGAAAAGTTTCCCAGAAGAAAGAATGTGGTACGAACAGTGTAACTAGCTCCCTCTATGAGAGACAGATATAAAAACAAATGTATGTGATAGCTTCACATACTTTGATTTTCTTTTACTAAACGGAGAATGGTCGCACTGCGCAGCTTTCTGAGTGCCTTTTAAAAGGAGATAGAAAACTCCGCCATTTTGATCCCTTATTACGTGTTGCCTACATCTTGGCGCAATATTTTTAATAGGTGCGTTTTAATCATCCGCTTCTGCTTCGGAATTGTCGGTTTTCTTGTTTTAATCTGACAGGATAAAACGACTAAACCGACAATTCCGGAAGCAGAAGCGGATGATTAAAACGCACCTGATATTTTGCTTGCTGCTGTCAGTGTCAGTGAATATTATTTTTGGAGTCACAGTTTATCGCTAAAGAATCAGCTCACTCGGACCAGTTGAAAGTTCCAAAATAACATCCACTCCAGGGATACAAATTCAGGATATGCAGAAGACTGCTGTTTTATTATAGGCGGTTGTCATATATTGTATTATCCGAGTTGCGCAGTGTATAAACTGGAACATTGAGATCAAAAGTGCCGACGCAGAGTGAGCGATCTGATTCTTTGGCTATAAACTGTGGCATAGGAATCAAAATGGCCGCGCCCTATGTTGGGCGTTTCGGACAGTCTTGCACCGTATAGTAATCAAAGTATGTGGTTAGCTTCCTAAATATATTTGCATAAAATTTCATTGTCATGTTGGCAGTAGTTTCGACATAATCGTAAAAAATGGGTATAGATGTTTTTTTCAACACCCTGTATATTCCGAAAAACTGTATTAACAAAGTTATCTATTTTTCATTTCAAAGTTTTCGATTCCTATTTAAGAATTGAGATCTTTTATCGGGATAGTAAAAGAATCTAACCAAGTGCTTCATTCATTTTCTATGAGAAGTTTTTATACAATCGACTAACAATTGGTTTGTTCGTAGAGACAGTTTTAAACGGTTGGTGATTCTTTTATGATGTGCATGCGCGATTTTCAACGGTTTGGGATTTATTTCCATTTTTATGCTCTGCGAACGCATTTTTTACAGATTGCGGATTCTTCTCTACCTATTCTCGTGAATTATATACAGATTTAGTAAACGGACAAAAAGTAGAAGAAATTGTGTTTATGAATTGCACCCCATTTCCCATTTTATCAATATATTTTACTTTTATTACCTGTTTTGAAGTTAAAGGCTGATATTTTATCAGGATAATGGATAGTATCTCTTTGTGGTCTTCTATTATTGAATAATTTATAAAATTTTATGTATCTGTACTAATTACACTTATAAGAACAAACAGAACATAAAATTCAAGCCAAACAAATGTCAAATTTTTCCAACCGTTTCAAATCAGTTGGCAATCACTTCATTTGTCTCTACGAACGCCAAGTTAATAATTGGAAACTATCAGTGATTCTTCTACGAATGCGAAATATTCAATGCGCATGCGCTGTTCAGTTGGAAACGGTTGTGGATCGCTCTAAGAACAAACCTATTAATGCATGAATCGGAAAATTCATTGAAACGTTTTTATGAGAGTTCATAGGATTATCCGTGATACTGTAAGAACGGATTATTTTCAATGCGCATGTATCTGACCTGTAGAAACAAACCTATGGTAAATTGACATTCTTTACATATTCTTCTACTTCATAAGTTTTTTACAAAAAACAAATGTTTAATTTGTTAATACATTTAGGAAACATAACCTCATTTATTTCAATTTTACTAATTACAGTACTAATTCAAAGTGCGATTGAAAAATCACGTTATCAGACAACTCTACTTTATCTCTTAGTTGAGATTTCTATCTTCAACGATTTTCAGTTCGGTAAATATTTAAAGATGCTTCGTGAATTATATATTAGCATTATAAAAATTAAGTTGCATAATGCACAGTATTCGTAAAAAAATATAGTATTTACCTTAACGTTTCCACCCAATATACACTCAATAAAAACGTGCACTGGGCAAACGACAATTTGTTGAGGTAAGCTGTAACATCAGGAGGATGCCTTAAAAGGTCCAAAATTTGTGTTCTGAGTTCTTGTAGTTCATTAACAGAAACGCTTTCGTTCTTTACAGCGCTGGTAAATTGTAACTCTCTCATTTCCGATCGACTAGATGTGAATGATATCAGCGTTGGTGATTTTACTGCAATTTCCTTGACGCCTTCGTACCATTCTTGTGGCCACAACCCTAAAAAATGTCCAAAAGGTTTATTAACAAAAAAAAATAACTTAAATAAACAACAATTATTTTGTATGTTTTTCCTATGAATAGGTAGTTACAATTACAATTAATTTCAGACCGTTCACCATTGGAAGGCAGTTCACAAATTGCAAACTTTATGAACAGTTTCCTATGACTCTATAGTCACTATCAGGTAATTACATTTCCAATATTCTTTATTGAACACCATGTAAGGTGTACATCTACTGTCCTCTTTTGACAGAACTAATATCTGAGTAAAATAAATACGTACACGGAATAATGCTATTATCAAGATTGTAAAATTGTCAGATAAGCTGCAGATATGTATAAATATTAAATAATTTTAAGACAGAAATCTTTAAATAAGAAAATTACCTGAATCTGATGCAGTGAATCCCATGATGACACAATATAACCAAAAATCACGAAATAGTTTGTGAATGCGAGGTTTTGGATTTTTTATAGGTGGCAGACGTCTAAGTAGCACAGCTATAACAGGTATAAGAACACCTAGATTTCCGGCCGAACTTGAAGCTTTAAGAGAACCTAGTAAAACATATCAAACTTACTGGATGTGACATCAATAAAAATTTAAAACAATATTCATTAACTTACAACCTAATAAACTTAAGAATGAGATAATGGTAGAATAAATCCCTTAGAATGTTGTAGCTGTTAAGCTAGTTAATTTCGTAGAATAAGTAGAAATAACGCTATTGACTAGAGCTAGTAGTTAGGTTATTTATAAAGCGGTAGTTGTGAGCTGAAAATTTCTAAACCAAACGTTTGTACCGTCTATTACACTTTATCCAGCCTGAGTAATATGAACTAAAAAATGTCGTGAATATCTCTCTCTTTCCATGAATATTGAATATTTTGTATATTTCTTTATAAACATTTAGTTTAGTCAAAATAAAACAGTTAAATATTTTTACTATGAACTAGTGATGGCTTGCTTTGAAAAGTCCACGGACAAGTCCGACTATATTGTGCTAATTCGTCTGAATTTCTTACAAATAAAGGCAAAATTTAGTTTAAAAAAGAAGAAACAACAAATGTTTACTGACTTTTATAATGTTTTAACGATGATTACAAAAAAATCAAAAGATTAAGTATTTTACAAATTAAAAACGAAAATACAAATGCAAATATTGTTTCCAAAGTGTTTTTGAAAAAAACATCCAGGATGGAGATTTAACTGTGTGTCTTCTATGCTCAAGGTCGACTACTATTCCTTGCGACTTTTCGTTACTTTCACTATTTTTCCGGACATGTCCGTCACTAGTCTAAAAATTACTTTTCATGAAAAGTCCCATCTCTACTATGAACATCTGCAGAAATATGAATGTCTCATTCTTATGTTTTTATGTGGCTCTAGTACTTGAAATTTCTTTTATTACTCACTGACCTGGCGATTTATCACTTGCTCTTTTTCCTTCTAAACCCAGCTGAACAAAAAGTTCTAGGAGACGTCCCAACAATTCGTTCATTTGCGTCTCGCCCTGTATATTATCAGCTATATTAGCTAAAGCATTTATAACTGGTCTAGAAACATGTCTGAAAAATAAAACAAAATGGGTATAAATATTTTATGCATACCCTCCCGAAATCTTTTTCAATGTCAATACCTTCATTTGTTCGGTTTTCATTAAACTGAAGGTTAAATGACAGGATAAAAAAAAACGAAGTCAAAATTCGTATTATCACAAATAATTTAGTGTTTAAAAAAAATAATTCATAGTATCGAAAATTATTATAGATTTTCAAAATAGTTTTTTTTTACATTTACTTACTACTGAAAAAAATCAAATCACATTGTCTAATAAGAATTATGACACAAGGCATTTAAGAGGGTTCTATACCCGTTCGCCATATTGGAAATGTTAATGTTCAAATTGCGGGCTTAATACTCACCAAAAAAAATATCTTTTTTGTATCCGTGCTTCTTATGCATCGTAGATTGGCGCATGATAACTTTTTTTTATAAACAAAAAAAAAATAAAATGAAAAAAATATAAAACAAGTCATATACGTATAAATGTTATCATCCGCTATTCTTCATTTGCCACTGAACAACTTGTGTATTTACCATTTTTGAAAAAGTAAGTAGTTTTTTCTAAAATTGAACATTGCATAAAAATTTCAGAGGGCACCGGGAGGTGCTGCCCCCAACGGTCTTCTTTTACGTTTGGATACCATGATAATCAATATTTTCTATGCCAGATGGCGCACCAGTCGCGAAAAGTATGTTCAGTTGCCTAAACCAATAAATATTGCAGAGTTACTTTCCGATCGATGTATAAAATTGCAAACAACACGATACACAGAATAACGGTGTGTTCCTGCGCATGCAGCTGACTGACGGTGACGTCACGTGGGACAGAAATGTTAGTATTAAATGGGAAATAGTGTTTGAAATTCGATATATGCCGGTTTTAGATTTTATGCAGTTACTTAAGCTTTATTGGTTATTTAGTAATATATTCGTTTACAAATATGAAGGTAAATAATACTAATAAAAATATTAATTTTTTTCATAAATTTTACGTATGTTGTGACAAAATCCATAACCTGGATAAGATAAATAAAAAATATGGACTAAAAATATAAGTTTGACTGAAATTTGTACTTTCTAGGAGTGGTAGTTCCTTTTAAATTTATTTTCTTAGTACGCAGAAACAAATTATTTTTTATAAAAAGCAAGTACACAAAAAATAATTTTTTATTTGGTAAATTTAAACATTTTTTTGCCAAGTTTACTTTGAAAATATTCAAAACTAATTTTTCTATTCATGTATCTTATTCTTATATATGTTCCTGTCCTGCTCTTGCATAGTATTTCTTGAAAAGGGACCGTTGTATTGGGACAGGAAACTACTGCTTTATCTGCTAAAATTTTAAAATACCTATTTTCTTTGCTTAATAAAGCACCATGCACCTGGTGGAATTCAGTTTTCTTCTCTTGCGTTTATGTTTACTACTTTCCTCAAAGTAAATAGGGCAACTTCATGCTAAAATAATATTTTAGCAACTTTTTACTGTCTCTAAACCTATTACACTTGTGCATTTTACTAACCATTATTGTTTAAATTAAGTTTGTCCTTTCTATGATAAGAATTTATCCACATTTTGTGGCATTCGAAAATATCTTACATTACACTATTTTTGAATTTCGCATTATGGATTTTGCAAGTCTCCACCGCGCAGCCCGGCCATTTAAATATTAATTCAGTTCTTCCCTATTATATATAAGAAAATATAGTCACTACTAACACAAAAACAAATAAATTATTAAATTATTTTACACTATTCAATCAAAAAGTGTCAAAATAACTTGAAAGTTCGTCCCGAATTACGTCACTGCGCGGTTTGGACGAAATTTGAATCGAAAGTCAGTATATCGTTAGTGGCTAGTATGTGTATTGTGGGCAAACAATAAATATTGTGTATATTTGGCGAATTTTGAATTCAGTTCGAGCTTTTAGGTTCGGTGTTGCCGTCTCTACAGATAGTTTGTGAATCCACAGACAAAGCTCATAGTAGCGTTGGAAATAGTCCGTTTTTAAAATACATTTCTACAAAAAATTTATTCCTAATGAAAGTTGTTTCTATTACGAAATAAAACAAAATTCACAGAAAAATAAATAGGGTGGGCATAAAATTGCTATAAAATAGGTAGTGTTACAGAATAAATACAAAATCCGAGCGCGAAATTATGAAACGAGCTTGTTGATTTTGGTCTGAAATTATAACATAACACACTTCTAAAAAAATTATCCTAAGTTCAGCTCCGAAAATCTTTACAGTCGGAAAAAATTAATAGGTACCGATTTTGCTTAAATAGTGGAGAAAAAGAAATTAGGCATTCCAAACAAATGAAGCGCGGTTCTAAGGTTTGGAATCTCTAAAGGGTTGCGACATACGATGTAGTCTATTTACAATACGTGAAATCAAAATTAATGAATTAAATTTAAATATTTTATGTCAAGCACAATGAAAATATTATTTTTATAGAAACCGTTTATGCATTTTCTATAAATTGGCAGGCTTGGCGATTACTATTTCAAATAGAAATAGCGTCCAAGATTAAAGGCTATGTCGCAATCCCCTTAGATTTATGAGCCCTTCCAACTGACAACTATTGTATGACAGGTCTTTGGAATATCTAATTGTGTGAGAATAATCACTATGACTTTAATAAATCGACAAAGAAGTGGTTTTTATTATGGGTCGAGTACAAATAAAAAAAACAGCAAAAGATTGGTTGGATTACGTCACGTTTTGTGTTGTACAAGTCTTAAACTTGTACGATTATATATATTGAGCGTTTGAGGCCGCATAATTAGGTTATCATTGGACGAAGACTGTTCAATACAGTATCTCTTAAATTTCCAAAATAAAAACTAAAACAAATAATATATTTACCTACATATATTTATACGCTTTTCTATTTATGAATGTGTGAAGGCTATAGAATAAAGTGTTCATAAAAAGTAATTATAATTAAAATAAGCTCAAAAAACTAGAAACCGTGTTAAACTTATTAAATAAAAACCGATTATATATAGAAATCTAATTGTGTTAGTCATCAACGGCTAGATGTTCTTATACGAGAATTGGTAGACTATGCAACCACAAATGCACAGAAATGTATTTCAGGCTGCCTAACAATTTCTTTAAAAGGGGGGGTTATGGCGAAGACGTAAGGGACGAGGATTTTGAGGTTATGTATGAAATTGACGGAGCTGATGGGTATAGAACCCTCTTAAATAATCAATGAGATGGCCTGTCACCAAAGTGGCAATAAATTATAAAAATAGGTGACAGTATAAATGCAGACACAGTGAAATATATGTCAAATATTAATAAACAAACCTGCTTTCAAAAAAAAATACGAAACAGCGAATAGATAAGAAGTTTTAATCCAATGAACATTTTTAATAAAGCCTACCTGTATTGTGCTTTATCGTTAGTAACATTTCCATAAGCTGCACTACCACTTTCGACAGTAATCATAGTAAACATTTTCATCACCACTTCATACACGTGTATTTCACATTGAGATATAATCATGCAACCTAATTGATCAACAATTAAAGTATCCAAAGCTGAAGGTACTCTACAGAATCTCTGCTGGAAAAATTGGAGGATGGTGTCGGTGGTTTTTGGTGTACCTTTCATCGATACAGCCACATGACCTAACATTATTACGATGTTGGTTGAAATTAGAGTCGATTCACTAAAAAATAGAAAAAAAGCACTTAGTTTTATATTGAGTAAAAAATGACATATTTTTATTTTCTGACATTTTAACATAATATGATTATACAGTCTAATTCACAATTTCTAAATTACAAATCAATACACTACAATGAATCTCTAATAGAAGACTGTTATTTATTTACCGATATATAAAAATATCGGTAAGCTGAAATTTTTTTAAATATGTTATTATATCACTCTCATAAATGTTTTTCAGAAAAATATTAACGAATATTAAATTTGTTAATGATTTGAGGACACATAAGCTCGTTTATTTGAATTTTGACGGTCAGTTCATTCGTTCGAAATTAATCCATTAGTATTGGTTCACCAGTGTTGATTATACCACATCAAATGATCAGCTATTTTGTAGTGTAATATAAACCAACAAAGAATTTTCAGTCAAACCATGCAAGTCCTATTGTGCTAGCAAGCAAAAAAATATTGAAGGTCAAATTAATGCTTTTTGTAGGTAAAATATTTTACCACGTTGCAAATGAAGTTATACTTTTATTAATACGTACATAACTTCCTTTATCACTTGACCTGTTGCGTACTATAGTCGCCGTACGACTGATTGTGAGTCTTACGATTTAGAGACTCTTGCTATAGTGTAAGCGGTTGAACACTTGACCGTTTTTGTTATAATTTTTTTTTTTTTTTTCGAAGCCGTATGGTCAATAGTTACAGTCGCTACGAGTCCTTAATCAGACACCCTGTACAACTCGCCCTAAACGTCTAAAATAATAAGTTTGTTAGTTTTTTGCATTACCTATCACTCTTTTCTGCTGTAAATAACCGATTTGACACAGATGCGACTAAAGCTCTAACACAGTCAGGATCCAAAGTATGTGCTGCACTCAGCGCAATGCAAAGGTTTTCAATTGCAGCATCCCTTAATTTTTCAAAGGCTGTTTGGCTAGGAGATATTGGTTTCGGTGTTTCTGCCTTTAAATGATTCCCTTGTGCTAAAAATATAATCGATTACACTCTTGTTAAGATAAAAATTGACCACTTTACTTGTAATTTTCAATTCTTTGACTCCCTTCTCATTCGCTTGCCTATGCAACTTTGACAAAATGGGAGAAGGCGTGATCAAAAAATCTCTTAAACAATATATGGAAGTTGATGCAATATTGGGAAATTTTTGGGCTAGATTTCCTAATCCTTCCAAACAAACCATTAATAAAGGCATGTGGGCTATGACTAGTCTATAACCATGGTTTGAGTTAATTTTTTCTGTTAGTCTACCACACAGGCTATCAGCACCTAAAAGTTGATATTTTAATAAAAATGTAAAATATACAAAAATTCGACGCCAATGTTTTTTGGAATTAGCCCATGTCATTTATTGTATAACCATTAGATATAACTGATTATTTTTATTTAAATAAAAATTGATATATTTCCTTAAAAATTGGTAATATTTGGAAACCACGTAAAGACATTGTAACAATCGAAATATTTCTTGACAGTTTTAAGATTATAATGTAATTCCCAAATTTTAAGAATGTTATTTTTTCTCAAGTGCCCATTGCAAATTTCGAGCGTCATTGATAACGAAATTAAAACGCATGTAAAAACATTGTACTTTACCAGACGGCACCTGTACCAATCACTAACCTGAACAAAGTGGTTAAAACAATGGAACTTCTGGTACCATAATTAGCGAGAAATGTGAATTATTGATTAAGAGAACTCAAAAAATACATGTGCTACTTCTCGATCAATTTCCTTCGCGTGACAAAGAATTGAAACAATCGAAAGGGTAGAATGTCCCAATCGCGAATATCCACATGTGCGCGATTTAAAGTTTAAATGGACCCGCATTTTTTTCGTTTCGCCAACGCGAGATGGCTTTACAAGCAATACGTTCATATTTTATGAATATAGAAAACTATTAACCTCTCTACTGGATTTCAAACTGTAAAAAAAATGTTTGCTAATACTCATTAGATGCTGCATGGAAATAGAGCGTTATCGTTATGCACTATTGCCATATCTACACCAGTCATTTTACGTATTTTTGATTTGTGCCTAGTGTTGTTTTTGAGTGACTTATTGTTTTATATATACTATTTCTCATTGAGTTTTTGTGTTTATTATTAAAAATGCCTTTTGTACTCAAGAAAAAGTCAAAAAGAGGCTTACACTTAAAAAAGTAAGTATATAGGATTGAAGTACTACATATAAAATGTTTATATTAAAAACCCTGATTTCTATCACAATCGAAATAGGTAGAATTATTGAAGATTAAAAAAATTGTTGATTTTTCTATAACGCTTGCAAGAAAAGTACAATAACCTCACGTAAAATTAGGTTACGTTAGAAGTTCATAAAATAAGCATTTTTTTTTTGGTAAATTATCCTATTTAAATAATATAAATATATACGTTTGTAAACATTGATTTATAATTATAGACCAGGGTCGATAATTTTTGAAACCAAAAAAATAATAGTAGGATGAAACCCGTTAAAAAAGGACGAGAATATAACAAAAATGAAAGGAAAAATAATTTACGGGCGATCTGAGGTCGGGAAATGGAAGGGGGTGAGTTTTTAAGGGTAAAAAAGGTGTATCTCGATTTCCGGCAAAACTACAAGTCCTATGGAAAAAAATTAAATGACAAAGTTGTAGGTAATAAAGAGACCTACAACTTTTGTAATTACACTTTTTTCACATAACCTCAAAATTTATGTGAAAATTTCAAATAATCAAGTTTTTGGTTTTTTATTTTTATCTTATGCAAAAAAAAAATTTTTTCTCGAAATTTAGTGAAAACTTACTTTTTTATGTCCTAAAGACTCTGTAATTTTTTTTATTTGAAATATTTATTTTTTTACCTTATTTTGACTTAATATCGAAAAAACACCCTAATTTTTAATCGAAAATTCTCGCGTCAAAATATCAGCTTTTTAAAAAAAGTCGGGGAGTTTTTTGTTCGTTGAAATCTCTTCTTTCTGATAATGTAAAAAAATATATACATAACTATGGTAAATGTTCTCAGAAAATGCAAAGAAAAGAAAAAAAACTCGAATCCGATTTTTTTTTAATCACTTTATACAATTTTGAGCTATTTAGTAAAATTGACACTTTAATTACTTGAAAAACGTCAGATTTTATGTTACATTGATAAACAAAAAAATTACAAATCCATAAATCATAAAAATTGCAAGGAACATGCGAAAACAGTTGTTCTAAATATTAAAGATAGGATTTAAAGCGGGGATTTCAATTAAAATATGTGATTGCTGCATTTTTTTTGTCAAAAAATTGATTTATTAAATTCTAATTACATTTATGTCATAGAAAATCTCATAATATATGAATATAAATGAAGAAGGGACAAGAAATGGGGCTCTGTACACCGGTGGAAAACAATCAAGTGCGAAGACCGTTCCACTGGGAAAGCCACCACAAGTAACTCAGTTGACGCCAGTTTCGTAAAACGGCTAGTTAAAAATTATGACCACCTGACAGCTGAAAAACTTAGAATTTTCCGGAGGTCCACTTAAACCTTAACTTGAGCTAAGTTAGCCACTTTATTTAAAGGTTTACATTTATTGGTATATTGTTTCTTATAAAATCGGGCGCCGGGGAAATACTTCTGACAAAAAAAAAATAATATATCTAAGTGAATTTTTCCCTTGAAAACAATATTTATGTGACAAAATAACTTTTTTCCGCCAAGTGGAAACTGGCAAGACGCTTTTTTCCAATCAAAATAAACTTTTAATATTGAGTAATATGCTGAGTTCATCTAGGCTTCATGTCGCCGTAATTAATTTCTTAAAAACTAAGTAAAAAAATAGAAATGCAGGCCAGAGTGTGATGAATTTGCATAGTTAGTGTTTTTACCACAATTACTAAATGTTATTCACTGTTAGTCATAAAGTTTTTTAATTGATCTACATAATTAAAAGCTGTTAAACGTTGCCAGCATTTTACTTTCCACTAGCAGAAGATAATTCAGCTTGATATAGTCCATTGAAGTCGGAGAAGAATGTAAAAAATGTGTGGGGTAAGCACTTGCCTCGCACAATAATTCAGGTTCAAAAGAAAGGTTAGTAATGAATTAGGATTATAATTTTCAGGCAAACAATTATTGCTGTCATGTCTTAATGAAATAAATTGTCTGGGGCGAGGCACGTCTTGGAAAATGCGCTGGACATTATGCCCTTTCGCGATTGCATGTTCGGGAGGTAGATTCATTTTACTCTTTTCACTCCATAACTAACTTCAGTCCATGATAAACCATTGTAATTCAATGATGTGAAGTTAGATATGGAGTGAAAGGAGTAGAAGGAGTCCACATCCCGAACTCACTACGTGACGGAGTTTGTCGAGAATTTTGGCTGCAATGAAAGGCCGCGCCGAGCATTTGACTCAGGAAAAGCGGTAGCACAGGTACTTTTTTGAGTACTAATAATCGATGGGTATCCGATGGCATAAATCGCAACGTTTCTGGGTAAGTATGGCACCGGAAATGCCATTGTTTTAACCACTTTGTTCAGGATAGTGATTGGCACAGGTTCCGTTTGGTAAAACACAATGTTCTTACATATTTCATTTCGTTAGGAGATGAAGGCCAAAATTTGCAGTAGGCTCTCCTACTTTTTTTTGTCATTAACGTGATAACGCGTAAAATCTTTGTAAGGCGTCCATAAAAATATATAACGTAAAAAATAAACAGTTATATCCCAGTGATGTCTTTATCCAAAAGGCTCAGTATCTAAGTTCTGAGATATTTTAGACAACTAAAAAATCAAAATTTAATATAACTGCAACTGAATACGTAAAAAACACAGTAAGCTTCATAGTACTATTAATAAATATTAGTTAGGTATTTAAAGATCAAAATAAAAAAAAAAAATACTCCACACTGTTAAAAACGTCAATCGATGCCATAGAAAGAGTGACATTAGAGACAACTGTCTAACTACAGGAACAAAAATATTTAAAAAAAAAAGGTTCAAGGAAAAATTGGTAAAGGTATCGTGTTAAAACAAGAGGAACAAAAATCAAACGCCAAGCTTGTTTCACCTAGAATTATCATTATGAAGTGAAGCAAAGTAGTAAAATTATACTCTGAATCAACTGCAAACAAAAATTTAAAATTAAACATTAATAACAGAATATTGTATGAAAAATATAAGAAAAAACGGGATATAGGAGTAAGGCTGTCCTTGTGGTTTTTTGCAGTGGTAATCATATTTTTTTAAAGATGTATCAAAGATAATTTAAATATTAAATAAATATTATAATAAACTGTGGTTCACTTTTTATAGCAACACCCATTATCTCAGGCTATAAATATTATTTTGATAAGAATGCGAAAGTTCGATTTTTTCTTTTTTATTTTTCGTTTTTCATTTTTCCAAATATCACTTAATTTTGAAAAAAATTTCGTGAAATGTTACCTTTGTATGTCTTAAATAAGCACAATTTTTTATTTAAAATTTTGCCCATACTTCTAACACCAAAACATTAAGGAGTTAATGAAGTGGAATGGAATTGGTCGACATAAGAAAGACTGAAAAAGATGTCCCCTATTGATTAAGAATCCACTTTCAGCAAATGTTTTTAAACCTAATTGGATTTTCTTCAGTGGCCCACTCTGTATATATTTTAAATTTTGCTCATATTTCTTCTAGCAGCAAAACATTAAGGAGTTAATGAAGTGAAAAGGAATTGGTTGACATATGAAATACGTCTATATCGGAAAAATATGTTCCCTTTGGATCAAAAATCAACCTGTTTAAGCATTTTTAAAATCTGATTGTACTGTTTTCAGTGGCCCACTGTGTATACATATTTTTAAAATTTTGTCCACATTTCTTCTAACAACAAGAAATTGCATTATGGGCATATTAACTGAAATGCATCAAGAGTGAATCATAGTCTATATTATCATTTTAACTATAAACATATTGTGTGTAGAGTATTTCTAAATTCCACTGCAAAACTTTTGTCAAATTTAAATAACCTTATTCACAAAGCACCTTTAAAATTATCCACACGTAAAACTTTAAAGATAGAAATATTATTATAACGAATGTTCAATAGAGTTGGACAATATTTCAAGAACTATTATTTAACTATTTTAATCTTGGCAAACTCTCATTCTTAATATGGTTTTCTATCGATTTAATAAAAATATTAACGTATATTTGATTTGTTAACGATTTGAGGAAACACAACCTCATTTATTCGAATTTTATTATCACAGTAAAAATTCAAAGTGTGATTTAAAATCCAACTCTAACTT